TATTCTAAGTCACCTAGGGTGTCAGTCAGCTTGGTTCATGTAAACGAAGCTCTCTTTTAAGAAGTAGAATCAAACTATGTTGGAAAGGGTTATATTAAGGTTGATTTCATTTAAGATTGGCACCATATTTGGTAGGATTTCCTATGTTATGCCATGTCTGGTCAGAACTGGAAATACTGAGAAATTTATAGTTTACAATTGCATGATAAAAGGCAGTTGGAAATCTTTTAACATTTTGTATATGAAGTATAGAACTTTTGGAAGTATTGTATATGAAATATAGAACTTTTGGAAGCATTGTATATGAAATATAGAACTTTTGGAAGCATTGTATATGAAATATAGAACTTTTGGAAGCATTGTATATGAAATATAGCACAATCCCTTATACCATCTTCCATGACATGTCTGCCAGAGATTGGCAGGATCTGAAAGTAGGCCCACAAAGCCACAAGACATTTTCCAAAGCTAGAATGGTAAGATGATAAAGCTTCCTGAACATAGCAGCAAAACTGCTCAATGACAACACTCATAAACCCTCATTGATTTTCCAATAGTTGGTAGGTCATTCGAGAGATTAGCTGATTTACAGTGAAAAATCACTAAAATGGCTGCTGTAATAGATACGGCATATTGCTTTGTTTCAAAGTCCTTTCTGGTAAGGCGATTAACATGACAGGCTTTCTTAACTGTTTTCATTATACCCGCTGTTGACAGAAATATATTGAGCCTTTGATATGTCAGACTGCATACTAACTGTAAGCCCTGGGAATGAAAAATCGCTCTATGTGAATATTGTGAATGCAAATTAAGGCTAATATATTTTGTTGTTGCCCTGTAGGGGAATTAGAATCCACCCTGAATGTAAATCATTTCTAATGTTGTTATCAGAGTGGTATGTTTTATATTAAGATATTATTGCAACTCTGATTATGGATATGTGATCGATGCATTGTGTGCTATTGATGCTTTGAGTGTATTTGATGCATTGAGTATAATAGATGCATTGAGTATACTAATTGATGTAATTGATGCATTGAGTGTAAATTGATACATTGGAAGTTATTGATGTATCGAGTGTTATTGATTCATTGAGTGTAGTTGATGCATTGAGTATAATTGATGCATTGAGTGTAATTAATGCATTGAATTTAATGCATTGAGTGCAATTGATGCATTGAGTGTAATTAATGCATTGAGTATAATTGATGCATTGAGTGTTTTGACATTGTTTATATTGGTATATTGAGAATGCTTATATTTAATCAAAGCATTATTTTTTGTTGATTTGATTTGATTGGAAACCTATTTTTATTGTGGGTTAGTTCTCTCAGTTCAAAACTGTTGTTCAGTATTCCTTACTGATGCACAGTATGCTGTAGCATCATATCAACAATTGTCTCCTGATGGAGAAGGGCCTGTCTCCCTATATCCTCTTACCCCTATAGTCACCATTTTGCCTAGATGCTCAGAATACAAATTATGTCTGAATTAGAAGTACTTTCAGGAGCATAAATAGATGTAGATATAGCATAGCATAGTTAGATGATGGTGAACAGGTGTTATGTTAAATATGCCATCATTGCTATAGTAGTGGTTACACTGTATGAAGTGGGCTGAACCATGTTATCTCATGATGTGCTAAGATGCTGCAATGTGTTCTTCACATAAGTGGGGGTTGATGTGCTACTGTAGATTAGATTGCTCAGCTATTTTTGAAGATATTTCATTTTTAAGGGAGGATCGTGTTTATAGGTAGGATGGTACTTATGTTTCATAAATGTAGTTTTTATAGACAGGGGATATTGATTACGATGATTTTACATATTTGTCATATGTGAGTCTAAGAATATGATATGCACTGAAGATGAGGTCCCAACATGTGGCTCTTGTCTTCGTCTTGAGATTTTCAACAATGGTTTGATCCTAGGTCTTTTCCAACTCAAAATTATGCAATAGTTCCTTCATGGTGAGGTCACACAGATCACAAAAACTTGGGATAATCTTTAGCTCCGATTCTCAAGTTCTCATGGTCAGGCATTTAAAGATTCGAAAAGACATGTATCTATATATTTGAGCAAATGGGACATTTTACAGGATGAAGGTTGACCATATCCCTGATACTGCAAACAACTACATCATTATAGATGTAAAATTCAAAAGGCGGTAGGTATACATTATGGGGTTTCATTTCAAGACCATTAATTTTGATTTTGTCTTCCTCATAGCTCTAATTCAATGAATCCTGTTTCTCTAAGAAAACAACATCAATCAAACTGAATTGGCTGTTGTTAACTGAAAAGAAATTCAACCCTAAGTGGTATATCAAAAGAAAAGTAGCCCCCCTGGTATGATAATGGATGTCTTTTAGCTATATTCTTGTACCATATTCATTTGGTCAAACTCTGGTGATTTTGTTGCTAAGTTGAAATTATACGGAATGGGAATCAGGTAGAATGATTTAGTCCCTTATTAGCCAGAAAAAATGTAATGTGAATATGTAATGTATGTCCAGATTGTACATACATATGTGCCTTTTTAGAGTTGATATTGCAAATGTGCAATTCCTATTAGGAATACACCTATTCAAAACTTCATAAGGGTTACAAATTTTTCCAGGGAGAATGATGCATTTACGGTATTTATAAAAATCAAAGAAATTCAATAAAATTTATCTATAAAACTTTTTTTTTGATAATTTTAATCAGTAACAAAAATAATGTTTTGTATCTATTTTGCATATTCCTTTATCTTAAAGGAGCGCCAGGTTAATTTCATTTTCGGTGGAATGACATCATACTCTGTTAAAAGTGTTGAAGGACATATAGAGTGTAATAGACTGGATGTCCTGTTTATGGAATGTTAATGCTGTTATGCTTATTTTCACACTTTCCATGCTTATTTCCCTCAATCTGCTTATTTCCTATATTTTCTATGCTTATTCCTCATCCTTTCATTGCTTATTTCTCATATTTTCTATGATTATTCCTCATCCTTTCATTGCTTATTTCTCATATTTTCTTGGCTCATTTGTCACACCTTTAGTTCCTATTTCTCAACACTTTCAATGCCTATTTCTCATATTTTCTTCATCTTGATTCACAAGGTTTCAAATGCTCCAACTTCAACTTGTGTTATAATACCTTGGAAGTCAAAGATGTATTTTCTTTGCTTATTTCTCATACTTTCTCTTAAACAGATGATATTTTGAGCAATTTTGAATCAAGAGGCTTTAAAAATTTAAAAGTTAAAAGTTTTTTTTCAAAATGACGTTCTTTGCATTTAAAACTTTGAGATTGTTTGTCTTTTTAAGACGTTTTCAACTGAAATTTTTATCAGTATTATAAGCCTATTGGACATGATCAAAGACATTTTTGAGAAGGATGCTTGGGGTAATGAATTTGTCATTAAGGGATATGAAAAGAAAATCCTCAGAGTGGAATAATTAGAGTCTCAAAATAGGGAGTAAAATAAGACAAGCATACAAGGATATATTCAAGTAAAGAAGATGTTAATGTAAGGTTACAGCGACCTTCTCCCCAAGGCTGTTATATATTTCCCATGGTGGCAATTAATAGTTGATATATTATTATAGGTGATATGAAAAAACAACTTGCTTCTTTGAATTCAGTTCATTTGTCATTGAAATAAGGAAAGAGAGTTCAAAATTCGGGAAATTGGAGAATAGCATTTGGAATCCGAATTATTGTTTACATTTCGAGTGTTTATATGTGGTTGTATGCCTTTCTAAGGAAGCACAGTACAGGCTATTATTTGAATTTGATTCGAAATTGTTTGCTCTTTTTGAAAGATGAGTACTTTAAGAAGATTGATTGAATTGTCGAGAATTCAACAAAGGTTGTTTTGTACTTTGAAGGGACATAAAATTGAAGTTATAAAGCAGTGTGAAATCTATTTTTAAAGTTTAGGAGCTCCAGGAGTTTAGACAACAGCATACAATAGAGACCAACTGAAACAAATAGTCAAAGTTTATTTTGGGATTAATATATCACATTGTTATCAGACTGTTCATTCTGCACACAATAAAGAATCAAACGAGATACACTTCAGAGACTGGATTAAGGTAATGGTAGTGTTTCTCATCAGGATTTGGTGCTAAGTTGGTATAGTTATACTCCTTTAATAATCATGAATGGGTGCATTTAAATGGGTGCTCTTTCTGCACACAATAAAGAATCAAACGAGATACACTTCAGAGACTGGATTAAGGTAATGGTAGTGTTTCTCTACAGGATTTGGTGCTAAGTTGGTCTAGATATACTCCTTAATCATGAATGGGTGCATTTTAAATGGGTGCAAATAGGTTTTCAAGTTAGTGCAAGACTGTTAGTGGGTGCAGCTGGCTAACTTCAATGTTGAGGGGATCACCGAACTACCAGTATATAAACACTCAAAAACTCTATACAGTAAAATCTATGTGAGTGGAATACCATTAGTCAGCAAAAGTGTTCTACTTGGGAGGTGTTCCATTTATAGAGGTTCGATTAACATTAAGTCAGTGGGTCATAAAACTGTGAGGTGTTCTACTTACAAAGGTGTTTTACTTATAGAGGTGTTCTACTTACAAAGGTGTTTTACTTATAGAGGTGTTCTACTTACAAAGGTGTTTTACTTATAGAGGTGTTCTACTTACAAAGGTGTTTTACTTATATAGGTGTTCTACTTACAAAGGTGTTTTACTTATAGAGGTGTTCTACTTATAGAGGTGTTCTACTTACAACAACAACAGTGTTTTACTTGTAGAGGTGTTCTACTTACAAAGGTGTTTTACTTCTAGAGGTATTCTACTTACAACAGTGTTTTACTTTCAAAGGTGTTCTACTTACAACAACAACAGTGTTTTACTTACAAAAATGTTCTACTTACAACAGTGTTTTACTTTCAAAGGTGTTCTACTTACAAAGGTGTTCCATTTGACAGGTTTTGCTGTAGTTGATTTCAAACAAATGTTTATAATGTTTATGTTTGTGTATTTTCAGCCTTGTGGCATTGGGAGTCAACCAGGGTCCCTCTCAAAGATGTTCCAGACTCCAGCCAATGGTTATGACAGGGTCCCCCATGTAGATGAAAATGACGTAAGTTTAGATTTATCATCTTCAAATGAGATCAGGCAGAACTAACTTCAGATGAAAATTTTTACAAGGGCTGATTTAACCCATTTGGTTGAAATTCATCAGATTTACAATTATATCATATTTTGATTTCTGACGGAGACGTGTCATCCCGAGATGACACGAGACATCACCACTCTGTTCAACTTGAACTATAACATCATTTTAGACCATTAATTTCAATTTTAGAGAGAAAAATTTATTTCGTAGCGCTCGTCTGTAGATGATTACAGTGGAATAATGGCATAAAGTGTAAAAATAGCTGAAAGAGAGAAAGAGATATAATCCTTTGAACAATTGTGGGAAATTTCAGTGACTTTCATTGTTGCTTGTCATGACATTACAATCCTGTATACAAATCCTGAAATCTGGTCAGATTTTAGCTTGACATGTTTATAAGACAGCTCAGTTACGAGCTCGATAAAATCGTAATGGTTTTCTGTCTTGTATCAGGAAATGATTTTGCAGTTTCATGATTTGAATACAAAGAGTAACCTGAATTTAAAATCAGGTACACGAGTCAGATGTACTATTCAGATCATGTAATACGCATCAGTCATTGGAGAAAACTATTTCATAAAGTTGTTATCAAATACACAATATTACACATCGCACGTAATATCTCTGAAATCCCCTTCGCCAACAGCCTCTGTAAATATGGCGGCTAATTATATTGGATCAAACGGAAGTGAATCTTTTTCTAATCTCTGTTCAAATATGCATAACTGTATTCATCAGAATTACATGAGGGAACATTTTGCCTTTATTGACTCTGAAGATATCTCGTACTTCAAGGTCAGAATTTGTTATTGGATTAGGCTTAAATCTAACTTGCAAAAATGACATGTGTTCTGAATCCCTGCATTTAGACTTATCAAATAACATTATATGAAATGCATTTAGACTTATCAAATAACATTATATGAAATGCATATAAACCAGATGTTTAACACACTGTACTGTTATTGTAATTCAATCGTCAAAACATCTTTGAATTGTTTTTAATCTGATTTTGTACGTCTTTAATGACATTTATACTTTGCTGGCATTTTTGGAGACAAAGAGAATTTCTGAATTAATAGTCATATATGTTTAATTCCAACATATGGGTGTGTTGCTCCACTTGTATTTGCATAATATTGTTACCAGATATAATTTAACATAATAGGCTTTATATCAAATTCATTATTAGCCCCGTAGAAAAACTAAAAAGAACATATGGGGCCATGAGTCTGAAGATGATCAGGGATCGAAAATGAGCATTACATGTCAATCATTTCGTTTCTATTTGGATCTCTATGGGTGAATTATCATTCAATTCTCATGTTGGACCTAATAGTCACTATGATAATTAAATTATGGATCAGTTGTCATATTATTTTCCTACATATGTGAATTAATCACCTCAGGGGCATATTAAAGTTCAAAGTCCTTTGGGAATATGTTGTTAACACACTGGATTAACTGAAATGCCACGTCACTTTTTACAAAGATGCTATTAAGAAATTTAAAAGTAGGTCATCAAAACAAATTTCATACTTGCTTGCTAAATTAGATTTATCCATGAATATTTTCGAACCTCTCAAGGTTTTTTCCCAGGAGTCATTTTATCACTTTTTATTTGATATTTATTTTATTTTTATTAAGTGCTCATGTTACATTGTACAATGTAAATGTTCTTTTAGGCTCTAGTTTACCAGGATGGGAACTTAATAGGTGGCTCTCTTGATGCTTTGATACGCCATCTGGTGCCAACTGCCACATACTACCCTGATGTGAGTAGATATCACTTAACCATTCTATAAGGATTAAGATATTCTTGTGCTTGTGCAAAATGATTTAAGATTCTAGTAGTGATGGTACGATAAATCGGCAACTCGAATAATCATTCATTTGGATTTTTGTTTTCAACTCTGAATTTGACTCGAGTCAGACTTCAGTTCATTTCTTTCACAAATTATAGAGTCAAATCCAATATATACTTCCATATTTCTCAATAATTACATTTATTTTCCTTATTTATAGCAGTATCTTTGTCAAATCTGTTCGAAAGATTTTTCTCATTTTTATGCGAATTGAAATCGGATATACAAGTTTTACTGTAGTTTTGTCATGATGTCAGATTTTGTTTTTTATTTATTTTACATTGCATTTCATAGAACTAGGAAGTTGTGAATGAACGCCTTTCTATACAATTCAACAGCTAACTTGATCTTAACATGTAAACTATAATTCAAAATAAAGAGCTCTTTTAAGAACTTATTCTGCCATTATAAAACAGTTCTCAATAGATTAAAGTGAAAACTATGAGATCATACAAATCATAAGTCGAATGCTGAATTGATTTGCATTTTGTTGTTATTTTTCAGAGAACTTATGTCTTCTCATTCCTACTGAGTTCAAGGTTGTTTATTCACCCTCATGAACTACTGGGAGAAGTGTGCAAGGTTAGTATTTGCAGATTACATAAGGCAGAGTATGCAGGTCCAATGCAAACCCCAATTATAAGCTATTTAGCTAGTGCAGTAAAACCTGTCTGATCTGAATGCAACTGGGACTAGCTAGAAGTGTTTGGATGGGCAGGTATTCACATTTCAAAACTTCTCAAGTTAATGTATGGGAGATGGGGACTAATAAAAAATGTTCACATTGAGAGGTGTGTGGATTAGAGAGGTGTTCAGATTAGAGAGGTGTTCAGATATACTGATTATTTTACAATTATTGCATTCTAGACCTTTGTTAATATACTTAAAAAACAACATATCAACTATGGGGACAATTACTTTTATTTTTCCATTACCCAGAACTGTCCAGAAATGTAGACATTATAAAAATATATTCTCTTATTATAAAATACCCTGTATATCTACATGTGTATTTAAATTATGGTATTTATGTGTGTTCCATCCAATTATATTGTCAAACATGATGTTTTGTTTCACTTAAAATGTGATTTCCTGTAATCATCTTGTTTTGTTTATGTGAAAGGGCTATACTATTATGTATGTGTATACGATTCTGAGTATTCCGAGTTGCTCTGTACAGTGACTGTTTGTTGTTTTCAGATCTGTGCACTACAACAACAGTTGACAGACAGTAGAGTGAATAGGGAGAAACTTGGCCAATTTGGACCTCACTTATTACAGTTACTCAGGTGAGTGCCACCCTCCCCCAGAAACAGTTACAAAATTGCTCAAAACAACAGACAATTATTGTAAAAATAAATTGTCTTTCCTCTGCTGATGAAACTTCTACTAATTTTGTTTATGTGAAAGGCTATGTTCATATGTTATATATGTATACTTTTATGTATGTATTATGTATGTGTATACAATTCTTAGTATTACAGTTACTCAGGTAAGTGTCACCCCCCCCCACCAACCTCACCAATATATTTGAAAGGATCATTGATCTTAACATTGAAACAGTTGCAAAATTGCTTAAAACAACAGACAATTTTGGTAAAAAGAAATTGTCTTTCGCCTGCTGCTGATGAAACCCCTGCTATTCCTTGAGTATTTTAAAACAAATATGGAAAGAAGCTTTTTTAGAACAGTTTGATTCATCATTGCAATGCAGTTGACAAGTTCATTGGCTGGTTTTAACCCCTGTGATCTTTTAGAAATACAGTAGCATATGCCATTTGAATTTTAGACAGATTCAACCAACACCTTTCGATAAATCTTGAAGCTAAGTGGCTATTGCAAGTTTTCAACATCGAAGCCTATGGCAATCTGGCCCAAACAAAACAAATAAAAGCAAGTGGTGACATCTATTCATTTAGCCATATAGCAACTTCCTTATTTATTACTTGTGTTTTAATGTTTACCTTTTGATGTTTCAGTGAATGGACAGAGATGTTCCCTTACGACTTCAGGGACGATAGAATCATGAAACACCTGAAGGATATCACACAAAAAATTATAAGTTTATATCCAGAGTTGCGAAAAGACTTCAATATGCTAATGCATAATCTTATTACTCGGGTAAGTCCACTAAAATACATGAATTTATGAATTTCAGAGACCATACTGACTTTGAATAGAATCTCTCTGTGCCTCATAATTAAAAAAACTCATTAGTATTTTATTTTTGATTCATGTATTTTATACTTTAGATTTTTGCTGATTGATGATTATTTATTCAAAATAACTAAATGAAGTTTCAAAACAATTTCAGAAGCTTTAATTATCTTTTTTATACTTAAAAATCTGCAAAACTTTGTGAGTTATAAATTTTCAATGTAAGACTGGACATACAAATAATGTCACTAAAATCGTTTTTCATCTAAACATCGTTGGGACCAATCAAAAGGTTTAAAATTGACAAGTGTCATAGTTTGAGTTTTTTAACATGGAAGTCTATGGTAGATTAAAAAATGGGACTGAAATATGTGTTCACATTGAGAATATGTTTGGATATACAAGTTTTACTTTTTTTCTTTTATTTTCTAGTTGTCAGGTCTGCAGAAATACGAGGAGGTTTTAACGAAGATCCACGCAGAGGCTCAACACAGACTGCTACATGTAGTACCAACAGTAAGTGTTACAATGATTTATAGGGGTTTGCTTATTTTGTTTCTCAAATGTTGGCTGTTGTGCTTTTAAAGTACAATATTGTGATATTTTATGTCTTGGCCATGAAAATGGAAAGATTATATTAGGATGTTCTATAAGGCAAAGAAAAATGGTCTTTGTGGCAGATATGGAACATCATCAAATTTTCATTAAATTCGTTAAAAACAAACGTCTCAAAAACATTTTTGACAACTCAGTACATGTTTTAATTTTTGTAGAATGTACAACTTTCTAAACACAATACATAAAACATGAAATAAGAGGGATGTAAAAATAATGGCCTGGCACACCAAATATTTGAAAACCCAGTGACCAGAAACAAGATTAAGATGTATGAGTAAGAAATGACTTAAGAATACTGTTTATTTCAGACAGACCTCTATGAGGTGTGCCCTAGTCCCCTTGTGTTGGCCCAACAACTCACACATATAGAACTAGAGAGACTCAGTAACATAGGACCAGAGGAATTCATACAAGCCTTCAAATCTGAGACTTCCAATAATAAAAAAGACATTACTATAACCAATGTGGATAAAAAGAAGACCAATAACTTAGAGGCGTATGTGCAGTGGTTTAACAGACTCAGTTATTTAGTCGCAACAGAAATATGTATGGTGAGTGTATTTCAGTTATTATATGGATGTGGTTCCTACCTGAGAAGTAATGAATTTTGGGGGATGTAAGTTGAAGTAAGAAGTGAGAAATTTGTATCTTGTGGTTGGTTTCTCACCGGATATTTACTGAATTTTGGGGGCTGTAGGGTATGCTTGTAGAAAGAAGCGAGAAATTTGTATTGTGAGTATGTTTCAAGTCGTCCCTTGGTTTGGTTTCTCACAGAAGTAATGAATTTTGGGGGGTGCACTTGTGTAGTGTATACTTGTAGAAGTAAGTAGTGAGAAAATTGAGAACAATGGATTTGGAAAAGAAACATTTAAAGTGTACAATACTGTATATAATGTTCAAGATTATCTCTCCTGGTGTTTTTCAATATCATTTACAATCAATGTATGTTTCAATGACTTATACGTATATACAGTATTTGAACAAACAAATAATTTCAATAGTTAAGTTTTAAATTGGGATCAAAGCTGTCTTACACTGAGCTGTTATTTACGCACACACTTCACTCTTTCAGCATTTAAAAAAGAAGCACAGAGTACGGATGATAGAATACTTTGTTGATGTAGCGAAGGAATGCATCAATATTGGCAACTTTAACTCTCTGATGGCCATCATAGCAGGCATCAATATGAGCCCAGTTGCCAGGCTGAAGAAAACCTGGGGCAAAATCAACACACAAAAGTTTGAAATTCTTGAGGTAATTGGTACTAGCTTTCTATGATATTTTTTGTCAGTATGGGTCACTCTAATATAGGTCAATATTTTTATTTATTTATTATTTATTTATATATATATTTTTATAATTTATAATAACACATACAAGCTAAACACTGGCTGAACACTGACATTTATATTTGTCATCATAAAAGTATTTTCTCTTCATTAAATGATTTTTGTCATCATAAAAGATTTTTGTCATCATAAAAGATATTTATCATCATAAAAGATATTTGTCATCATAAAATGTTTGTTGTCTTACAGCATCAGATGAATCCATCATCGAATTTCACTAGTTACCGATCCTCCCTAAAGGCAGCGCTTTGGAGATGTCAAGGTGCCGCAGATGACAGAGAACGGGTACGTTATAATGAACTTGAGAAATGCAAAGCGAAAATTTCAACCGATGTATAATGACAGGAACACATAAGCCTGGCCATAGGAAAACCGGTCTTATCACAAAAATTGGAATTGTGCTACAGAGCCAAAAATGTGCTCAAGATTTAGAGGAAAATGTCCTAATTCAAAAGCGACTTTTTGGTCTATATATGCAAGGAAAAATTGTTAAGGCATAAGCCATGGCTCATTTGAAAGGTCTCTTTGTGCTTTCTAAGATAAACGAAAAATCAGAATATTGAAAAATCTGTGATAAGACCCCTTTTCCTGTGGCCTGGCTCAATTATATCTCTATGAATTCATCATTCAGCGTTTGCTTCTTATGTTTCGCTCGGTAAATGATTTAGTAACTGAAAAATCTGTTATCTTATGTTTACTACTGCGTCTATTTTGATAAACTTCTTGCTCCCTCATTAGTACATTCTTGAATTATTTTCACTCCATGTTCAATTCCCATTAGATTTTTTTCTTCTAGCCTTATTATTTTACAGAAGGCAAACAATTTGAATTCATTGTATCAAAAATTTAGACAGAGGCCATTCATAAGCAAAAATACATGAATAAATTGGTTCATTGGTTTCGATTATTTTTGAATTACATGAATATTGACTTGACTTTTGTAATTTTATTCAAAAATGAATGGCAGTAAGGGTTATATTTTACCAATGAGAAAGAATGATTACCCATATGTCTGACCATTGTTATTACGTCACCATCAAAAAATTGTTGTGGATGATATTTAGAGGTTGGTGTTCGGGAGTTGATGTTCTGTGTAAACATATTGCAGATGTTGACATTTTGCATGTTAATGCCTTGTATTACCCTTGTATTTCTTTCAGAAATTTTTTGTGGATGATATTTAGACGTTGCTGTTCGGCAGTTGACGTTCTGTGTAAACAAATTGCAGCTAGTGACATTTTGCATGTTAATGCCTTGTATTACTCTTGTATTGATTTATTCTTTCAGATTGTCATCCCATTCTTCAGTCTATTTGTGAAAGATCTCTATTTCCTGAATGAGGGCTCTTCAAATAGAACCACGGATGACCAGATTAATTTTGAGGTAACTAGCTAAATAAATTTTATTTTGTATTTACTTTAAATTATGCCATGGTCACATTTGCTCCATTCTTCAACACCAGTGCTCAGCCAATGAGTATTTTGTTCAAAACTGAATGCAGTCATGTTATTTTGACCAAAATACTCATCAGTTGAGCACCTATAAACCCACCCACTTTTGTTAATGTACCAAATTTTGGGGAAATTGGTGATTTTATAGATAAAACACTTTTTATAGTTGCCAAAATTGGCATTTACCAGCCACTGATCTGGAGCGAAACATTTGATTCAATATATTGGGCCAGAGCTTTATCTTATGCCAAAGAACCTACAGACGCCAATCTATAGCTATAGATCGACTCCAGTGCATAACATAACCAAGTTATGGAATGCTTGAATGTTTCCAAGAAATTTATTCATTTCCCAAGTATTATATCTTTGTACCATAGTGATAAAATGCTTTTCAGCTTGGAATGATATTTATTACAATTGATAAAATATTGTTTACTTTCAGAAATTCTGGGAGGTTGCCAAACAAATATCAGAGTTTATCTCTTGGAAACAAGTTGAATGTCCATTTGATCGCCATAGCAACATACTCAATTATGTACTGACAAATCCCGTCTTCTCAGAAAACTGTAAGCTACATTTGAAATTACAGTTTTGAATAAGTTACATTTGAAAGTAAAATGTGTAATATTTGAAAATCCAGTAAACTGTATGTTCCTTTTACAGTTACAGTTAAGTATAAGTTACATTTGAAAGTAAAGTTACAAGTGTGAGTTACATTTGAAAATAATCTTAAGTTGCATGTGAAAGTAAAATAAAGTGTATGTTACATTTCAAAATGCAGTTTACTGTATGTTACATTTGAAGAAAAATATTTGGAAGTCACATTTGACATTTAACATGTAAAAACGATGTCATCTCTAATTTACCATATTCACTTACTGCATTAATATATTGTACAGTTAAACCCATGTACAGTGAACACCTATGAAACTACAAAAATGTGTTCACAACAGAGAGACAATTCAATACAGAACTCCGAGGAGCATGTACTGAAAAGAGGTGTTCACTAGACACTGGTGTTCACTACAGAAAGGTGTTCACTAAGACAGGTTTTACTATACTAACGTGCCCTTCTTGTATCATTACAGTATAACTACCAAATACCGCCAATTGAATAGATGAAAAATGATTTAATGTTTGTTTTCAATTCATTGCAGCTCTCCAGTTAGCTTCATTTGAATGTGAACCTCCAGAGAATAACTTTGAGAAGGAAAAACATAAACAGTTAAAGTAAGTATCAAAATAACTTAATGTTTGACTTTTCTGCATTCTCACCATTGGAATCAAGTCGGTAAAGATATTCTATTGTCACCATGATGGTAGGCGCCAATCAGACTTCTGATTTTATGCATGGGGAATTTTCGATACTTTCTACCAAACAGAAATGTAATTAAACAAGGTAACATGAAATAAGTAAGAAAAATGCTGTTTTTATTTTGCAATGAGTGCATTTTGTAGTTTCTTATTCATATTTTTCAGAATGGAGGCTGGTATATGAAGTCCTACATTGCCACATCATGACATCATCATGCGACATCATGACATCACATATTGCCACATCCTGACATCACCATGTCACAATCATCATATGTGCTCATTGTACCATAGAACCATATTGCCAGTCAGGAGTAACCATAGGACATAATATCACATGAGAAACATGGAGCTAAGGATTTAAGTAAAAATTGACAAAGAGATACATGTACATAATACATGCACAATTGCAATTTTACCATTGCAGCTTAAATACACATGTAAACTGCTTGCAGATTGAGCAAGTATACTTGTACTTATTGTATTGTCACATGACACATTGTCACATGACTTACTGTATTGTCACATGACTAACTGTATTGTCAAATGACTAACTGTATTGTCATATGACTTACTGTATTGTCAAATGTGACACTTTGTGCTGTGTGATAAAAGATGGAGAGATTGCATTGAAAGCTGATTTATGAGCAATCCCACTAAATATATCAAATAGCAGTTCAGGATGGATTGAGGAGGATTAAGTGAATGAATGCACACAGAATTCAGTGTGACAAAGCACATTTAGCATTATTCAATGTTTCAGTGTGACAAAGCAGTCTTAGAGCCTAGAACAAAATTCAGTGTAATGAAGAGATTCAGTGTGACGAAGAAATTCAGTGTGATGAAGAGATTAAGTGTGACGAAGAAATTCAGTGTGACAAAGAGATTCAGTGTGACGAAGAGATTCAGTGTCACATGGCACACTACACCTCACAAAAACTGAAACGAGAGATTATGGTGGCATTTTAAGAAGGCTTAAAAACTATTGCAAAAGTTTAATATCTAAATCAATATTCTTACTCATGCTCTAAAATATACTCATTCAATCAAGATGGATGTCTTATTTGATGTCCTACACAGCCCATCTGCAGCAATGTTGTATGGTACCTTTTTGGAAATGGTACTGTACGCTACCTTGAAATATGATACCATATGGTACTGTGAACTAAAACAGTACCAAACAGTACCATGAACACTGTACAGCACTATACTCCAACGATACCGTATTGCACCATACTCCTAATGCACTATACAGTACCATTTAGAGTGAGGATTGGGGGTGTATTTATGGGGTATCTCAAATAAACTAAATATGTTGTAGTCTTTGTCACATGGCCATACCAGTAGAGATATTAATGCTACACAAGTGTTCAATGAATCTTAAGAGAGTACTGTATTAATACATCAAGGTGAAATATTGCCCCAGGTATTGTGATGTCATGTTACCATAGCAACCATAACTCTACCCGAGTTTCATAATTTTTGTTGAAACTTTGCAGTTATAGTAACAATACATGAAAGTACATTATGTGAAATGTTGAAGATGATTGGTGCATATTTAACAAAGTACCAGCATCAGTCCTGTTACTTTTGGAACACCCTGTATTTATATGTTACTTAGTTTAATATGAATCACCTGTTTGTGCATTGAGTAAAATGGGTTCTGAGAAGTTGATTGTGCAAAGGTTTCATCAAAGGTGTATATGTCTAAATGCACAATATACTGTGGTCATATATTTGAGTTTATCCCAGTAGATAATACTTCATGCCTAGTAAATAAATGCAACACTTAGCCATTTTTTGTATACTTTTTGTCTGGTTTTTCTGAACTAGTTCTTTACTGTGTTTTTGTACATTATTGGTGCTTTTCTTGCATAATGTGATATATGTATGTATAGTACCTTAAAAGAGTTTTTCATTGGAATGAATCTTACATATAGGTTTTCACTCACTGCAATTGGCATACATCTACATCAGATACACTAAAGCTGAGATACAATCTATTTGACATTGATACCTGGTGTCACGCGGCAAAATTAAATTGTTTGTAATGAAGTATTTCGACAAAAAGCTCCATAACCATTTATTTTGTGCTTATGTTATAAAGTTTGTTTGTCACGATGATTTGTAAGTCTTACCATTTAAATTTCTGTAATTTGGTAAAAGATTAATTACTGAAACAGATTATTATAATGAGATTATATCTACTTAAACAAATCAAATGAAATCAAAAGCCTATGTTAACATGGTTTATACAATTGCTACTGTGGTTATGCTTCTACATGTGAACTATAATTATAGGGACAGATTTGGTAAATTCATTTATTTAACTTGTATAAAAAAGAACAGAATTTATGAGCTAAAGGAGGAGGGAAGTTAGCGCAACAGATTTTGGCCAGTCATATGTTTGATTTTGGCCATTTCCTGGGGATTTAAACAGGTGCAAATGTTAGGCGAATTCATTACCTCCAGGAAAATCACTTCTAGTGAAAATTAGGAAAACATTTCAGAAAAAACATGTGGGTGGGTTGTTTGCATCTACCCTGTCTCAAAGTCGAAATTATTTTATCATCTCTAGAAGTGATTTTCCTGGAGGTAATGCATTGGCCTAACATATGCAATTGTTTAAATCCTCTGAAAATTGCCAAAATCAAACATATGACTGTCCAAAATCTGTTGCGCTAATTTCCCTCCTCCTTTATGAAAACTTAATATGAAATATTTAGTGTCGATCAATACACAGATTCAAATGTAAGAAAACACATGTACTAATTCAAGTAAATAAACATGAACCTACACATGTGTAGACAATTTGAGAAAAGTGTAGAGAAGCATGGTCAGAGTGCAACTGGTTATAATTCGTTTACTTTAAATTGGTCATTTTAGTTTACAGTTTGAGTTCTTGACTAATTAAAATGTTATCTTGCATATTAAAACATATAATGTGCTCTAAATGCATTGATTTACTGTATTGGCCTCCTACTGAGCTCTTATTGAAAATGATTTTCCAGTTTACTGGAGGGTGTACACCCCCAAAATGCAATCTGATTTTCGACGCCATTTTGGCGCCAAATTTCGGTGCCGTTTCGGCACCAAATGGACTGACTAGTCCGGTGACAAATTTTGGTGTCAAAAGGTTTTGGTGTCGGAACGGTGTCAAAACGGTGCTGGAACAGCGCCGAATTTTTTCGATGCGGAAACAGCGCCGAATTATATTGGCTGTGTACCTTTAATTGGAAGTGTAATTTGGTAATTGAGAAGAAGCACTTGATGTATATAAATACCTCAGATGTCACACATCACTATGTTCTATACACCATATGTTCAATCAAGATATTTTTATTGGTAACTTGAAGTTGCATAATACTCTAGAGAATGTCGTATTTTACATGTTTTAGATAAGCTTTACTCACAAATTGTTGGAATAGGAACAAGGAGAACTTTTGGATCCAGCATGCATCAGTGCATGAATTGCATTCTGGGTGATTTGCAATATTCAGCATCATTAAATAAAGCTTGCACAATGCTGCCATATAAATGTACAATGTATGTTAGTGCCTTTTTTCTAAGTTAATATATATGTGTTCATTTTTTCGAGTAAAATCAGAGACAAGCTGAATTTGTATTTTGTAAGGCCTACCAAAATTAAATTTAAAACTTAATGAGTTTTAACCTGACATGTAGCTTCATCCTGTACTGAGATTGTACAAAATGTATATATAATGGAACCAAGCCCCCTTACTGATGGAAATATTCCTGCTTTTTACCAGCAAGATCAAACAGCACTGCAGTGTTTTTGCAGTTATTATTGTTTAGTATGTAACCTATGATAGATAGGGATGATTTTATGCTCAGTTGAGCTGAAACAATATCAAATGTGCTGTTGGTTGATTTATCATTTCTTTAACATTAATTGGGCATATGCATACATAACACCTCTGGAAGTGGAACACCTCTTTTAGTGGAACACTTTTCAGAGTCCCAGGACCAATTGACATAATGTCAAATGAGTTGTACACCTTACAACTACACCAAATGTGTTCCACTTTACAGGTTTTACTGTAGCAGATTTCCTCATTATATGATCATATTGCCATCCCTATGCAGGCCCGTAGCCAGGATTTACCAAGGGGGGGGGGTTCAGTTTTCAAAAATTTCTATGGGGGGTTCACATTTGACAACTTTGGCCCAAATATGGCTAAAATCACTTGAGAAGTGCTCAAAATGGTGAAAACTGCATGATTTTGAAAGAATTTTTGGCCAGAGGGGGGGGGGTTCGCCCGAACCCTGCGAACCGCCCTTGGCTACGGGCCTGCTATGTGTCATATTGCCATCCCTATGTGTCATTTGTATGTGTAAATATCATAGATGCAATCTTAGAGATTTTAAAATGAACACAGTGTAAAATATCTTTATATTAGAGATGATAGCCTATAGCATAGAGTGCAAATACAATTTGTGCCAGAAAAATACAACTCTTTGTAAATGTCTTATGTGCATGTACTGCATGTTATTGTATGATGTAAATTTTTATGTACATTGTACTATGCATGTTATTGTATGATGTAAATGTTTTATGTACATTGTACTATGCATGTTATTGTATGATGTAAACATCTTATTAGATATATGAGAACAATAAAGTATTGTTCAGGATAGTAAATATTAGATGATGTTTTTGTAATTTTTATGTCACCACCACTAGTGGTGACATATCACTAGTGGTGACATATTGTTATGGTCTCCAACTTTTGTGTGGCATTAATTCATGTTTGGCAGTTGCTGTTTGGTGGTTGATCTTTGGCATTTGGAATCTGTAACAAATGACAGGTGGTGATAATTTGCATGTTAATGCCTTGTTCTAAGTATTTTATTCAGTAGTTGAGAATCGTTGTTTATACATTCTTAGCTTTTACCTAATGTTTGGGCAATAAAATAATTAACTTAGAGGATATTTTTCATCAAATAAGTTGGCCAGACCAAATTATTTCTGTAAAAGTAAAGCACATCCCAAGTGGAACATTATTTTAAGGTGTACCGCTAAAGTAATACACACATTTTGCAGTTCTCTTACATGTGTGTTAGGGAGATTTGCTTTTTATTAATTATTATTTATTTTTTAATTTAAATTAGATTAAATGGAAATTACTGCTCCCATTTTTTCAAATACACTTTTGGGCCTTGGGAACCCTGTTAAGAAAACCCCCAGGTACATGCACAGTTATTAAACTTTTGATTTATTGTGATATAAGGATTCTAAAACATCTCATAAAAATATAGGCGTACATTAAAATAGTTACATAAACACAAAAATGTTAAAACTCTGATGAATGTATCAGATTCAACTAATATCGGAGTCAGCGTCTCAAGAATATGCATATTGAATGTCTTTACACGACAATATGAAGGTTGAATATGGTCTAGATGGGGGATCCTCACATTTTAGAGCATGTGGGTAGCAACTGTTGTATGCAGTATGTGGCCACCAGATACCAATCAGATATTTTGAAATAAAGATACATCAGAAATGCAGTCTCAAAAATCGAAAGTTTTCTGGGACAGTATGGCGCCCTGACCTCTAGCTTGTCGACATTGGTTAACCAATTTCCTGGTGAGGCTTCCTTATGCCTAGGTCACATTTGCTTCGATTCATCGGCCGGCGCCCGGATGATAGAGTATTTTGTTCAAAATTGAAGGTGAAATCTCTACTTTGAGGTCAGATGAAAACTCCTGGGAACGCAGTTGAACATGATTTTTTAAAAAAAGTCCGTTGGTCAACTTGAAGCAAGTTGAAATCAGTTCTGAACAAAATACTGCAATCGACAGGGTGCCGGCCGATGAATCTGAGAAAATGTAACCAAGGCATTAATCAAAATATGGCGCAACACCTCCAAATGGCTTAACTTCAATGACAACAAGAATGACATTTCCTGGATACACTCTGATACACATGAGATGGATGCAAGGTTTCGGCTACCATTCACCACTTACAGGTTTGTACCCTGTTGACTTGGCATATTATACCTTTCTGTATTTACGCATGTAGCATCGTCATATGATGGTGGCGGGGGTGATCCAGCAGTTGGGTTACTCTCAGAAGGTCCTGCTGTAGCGTCATTTCCCATGTTTCCTTGATGACTTAAGGATGATGGAGTGGGTTGGGTGATGTATGGAGGAAATATAAGCTGCTGTTGAGTGACTGAATCGTAGGAAGGAGGGGGTAAATTGGTAATGCTGTGAATATCTGTAGTACCAATAAAAGGTGGCGCACTTGGTTGCTCAACATGGTATGAAACTGTTTGTGATCGCAGTGGTAATGGGGGCGTATTAAACATTCCATGTCCTGCTTCTAGATCTACTGCAGAAAATGTGATATTGTTACTTGTAGTATTTGTCACGTAAGGCTCATTTGTAGCGTTTTCAGGAACACTGTTTTGACGCTTTTTACGCCATGCTATCCCAGCCAATAATCCTAGTAAGCCAATAGCTAATATAATTGGTCCCGCAACACATAAATCCAGACGGGAACCACCTCCACATCCTACCGCCGTCAAAATTCCTCCTATTATAATAAAAAGAATCATGAAAACGAGAATCAAAACGCAAAAACTACATTGTTGTCCCCCTGGAATTATTTGACCTTGAGGCCCTACATTGAAGACTCTCCCAGCATGTCCAGTACGTCTCCTGTTGTGATGCCGATGATGTTGTACACGTCTATGCCTAGTTCTTGCAGCCCGTGCCCTACGTCGTCGTCGACGTCTTCCACCACCTCGTCTCCCTCTTTCTCCAGCACCCATGATGATATATCACTCTAAAATATGAATGAACAGTTTGCAATGTCTTTTTCAATGATCAGCAGCTATAAATGCAAATAAAATTAAGACTATATAAAGATGTCGCTGTTGTTGGATTTCACTTGCACTCATTGGCCTTAGTTCAGTGTAGTAACTAAACGACTTCAAGTCCATTCTACATTTGATCAATATTTTCCTGAGGGTGGAGTTGATTCTAAACTAGTAGATACCCTCCTTAATCTTACGAGTCACTTCCAAAAGAAATCCACTTCGTTCATCTTGTTGTTAATGTATCCGGTAGGGCGTGTAACATTATCCCGTTCCAGGACTATAGTCAACGGGATAAGTGTAACAGTGTAGTGTGCCAAGCCCATATATTATGATTTACACTGTGACCTACTTCGATTTGGTATACATGTAGCTGAGATTAACATAAGTGATGGTCTCAGGTATAGTAACCGTGATGAAGAAATTAATGATGTTGTAAGATTAACCAACGTATGCAACTAACGTACACAGCCCTGTAAGTTTAAACGTACACAACTGTCTTATATTTCACCTTATAATCAGCTTATAGTAGAACTTCCACGGGAACTTCCACAGGAACTTCCATTATCCTATGTGTTTTGTTGGCCTGTTGGTTATCACTGGTTTGATTGCGCTGTTCAGGAAGGCAGGATTCATTTGTAAACTATATTGCATATGAATCCTGTATGATTCCTGGAGGCTGGATTCATTTGTAAACTATATTGCATATGAATCCTGTATGATTCCTGAAGGCAGGATTCATTTGCAAACTACCTTCTATATGAATCCTGTACGAATCCTGAAGGCTGGATTCATTTGTAAACTATATTGCATATGAATCCTGTATGATTCCTGAAGGCAGGATTCATTTGCAAACTACCTTCTATATGAATCCTGTACGAATCCTGAAGGCTGGATTCATTTGTAAACTATATTGCATATGAATCCTGTATGATTCCTGAAGGCAGGATTCATTTGTAAACTATTTAAACAGCGAATCCTGTATGAATCCTGGAGGCAGGATTCATACAGGATTCATATGTGCATATGAATCCTGTATGAATCCTGACTCCAGGATTCAGTGGTTTGATTCACATTTTTTGCTGTGTTGCACTGCAGGTCTCTGAAAGAGTTAATACTAAATGTACACTCCGTTTTAAACGTATACGTAGCGTACAGTGCAGAGAGTAAGGCCATAAACATAATCAAACTGCAAATGCAGGTACATGTATGGCTTATGAATACAGGCTGAGCCAAAAAGGTAACCCAACCCCCGTGACCCAACTCAATGTTTGTTAATAACTGAGTCATTCGGCATGGCCTTGAAATCATATTTGGCGCAATTAAACCTTGTTCAATGTTCTTTCCTTCTAGTAAGTTTCAATGGTGTTATCTCAAAAAAGCGATTTCATGGCCATTTACAAAACACGCCTCCCCCCCCCCAAATGCCGCCAACTTAACATAAATCCCAAAAGATTTATAACTAAGGGGCTAATGTCTACACTAACAACCCTTGAAACATTGACACAAGAGATAAGAAACTCGTGTAGTGAACAACTACGCTAGATTCGTTCAATTTAACCTCCACTGGAGATGACGCAGGATGCTTTGTAAAATAGCCATAAAATCGTGATCATTTGGGATAGACCCATAAAACTTGATAGAATGAAAGAGCATTGAACAAGGTTAGTAATTGTGCCTTGACACCAAACCCATGCTGAATTAGCATTTTATTAACGTTTGTTTGGGTTACCTTTTTGGCTCACCCTATACGAAGATTACCAGTCATGTAACGTATCAACAGGACAATTGTATATTTATATTTTGCACTGGTGTATAGTATAGGCCTACAGTCGTGTACATGTGTTATCAATCTTGCCAGTCTTTTATCCATCCAAACCTTCAGCACGCCATTCCAAACTCAGTCATTTTCATGTTTCTATATTTCATACTTTTATATCAATCCCCAAAGCGTCCTGAGACTGAGAAAATTAGAGATGTGAGTCAAAACCGGGAAGTCAAGTTAAGATTTTCAGAGGACGTGCACGTGAACGTCTCCTCTAGGGATTACTTCCTGTCATCGTGAGATATCACAGCCTTCTCTCAGTTTCCTTCTTGTGCATACGGCAGAGATGGTCTGAGTATCAGAATGACTTCCTGTCCCCTTTGTCGTGTTTACTCGCCCGATTGAGTATAGTTGGAAGACCAATGTGTCATATGTTATTATTAGGTCCCTAGAAAAACCAATTGACGAAGGCGGACAGGGGTCATGATTATAGGCCTATCCACTATCTCGTACACGTTCTCTAAAAAGGAAAAGCTTGACAGAATTTTGACTATAGACGAAAGTATAGTTTCAGAGCGGTACATAGACCTACATGTAGCATCGTATTGTTTTCGTTATGATTTAATGATAAATGACAATATATTTTGAAGACTGACAACATTGCGTACAGTTTTCTGCCAGTACTCTAAAAAGGAAAAGCTTGGCAGAATTTTGACTATAGACGAAGGTATAGTTTCAGAGCGGCACATAGACCTACATGTAGCATCCGGTACGGGTTTCGTTGTGATTTAAGGTACAGCTGGAAAGTAACATTTTGGTAAAAAATTGCTATACCTGCACATGTTATTTTCTGGTACAAAATAAAGTATGAAGGCATGTGTCAATTTCCTTGCTTTTTTCAGGAAAGTATCATTACATTGTCTTCTTTTAGAATATCTGATAGGCGTTTAATGGGAACTACAGGAAATTCTGATATTTCACACTTTCTATTTTTCCAAATTTTCTTTCAAAGTCTCCAGACAACACAGGAGATACCATTGACCTGTTTCTAGATATTCTAAAAGAAGACAGTGTAATGATACTTTATTGAAAAAAGCAAGGCAATACACACATGCCTTCATACTTAATTTTGTACCAGAAAATAACATGGGCAGGTATAGCAATTTTTTACCAAAATGTTACTTTCCAGCTGAACCTTAATGATAAATGACAATATGTTTTGAAGACTGACAACATTGCGTACAGTTTTCTGCCATGACTTGAAGTAGCAAGCCACAGAATTGAAATATACAACGCATAGAACTTTGATATAATCATCATGATATAATTGACGATAATCATGGATGATGATTTTTTAATTCTCCCTTATACCTGAATTAAATCTTCTCTCATTCATGTCATTCTCCCTTCTCTGGATCTGTTTTAAGTTTACATTTTACCAGAGACATATAAAACGTTTAACGTGTCTCTGATTTTAGAGTGTCGATTCCGCATTCCAACACTCTACGATATATGTTGCACTTTACTTATCTTACTTCTACGTGGATTCAAATCAAGTCAAATCCTGTTCTAATTTGTTCAAACTGCTCACAGGGGATATGGTCATGACATATTGTATAAGATTGGCCACCGTCATGTTCTAGGGATCATGGTCCGATATTTATATATAAAGGACCAAAAACACTTTTACACCGGTCATACAGTAACTATACCAGGCGCAGGTTGAATTGTTCCAAGCCGCGTCGTGGCCTTCCTTTTTGAAGAGATATAGAGAAGCCGTCTGTTGTTCAATGGATCTGGATCTGCCTACCCTGCGTGCACAGTCTACTAACTACCGAAGACGAAGCTCTCTTTTAAGAAGTGAAGTCGAACGAATGCAAAGGGTAGGATCTGCTACTCCGGAGAGATGCTGTTTTTCTAATCTATTTAGGATTTGGGATCAAACAATATAGCTATATCTTTTTAAAAGAACGTGAAGAATTATGGCCATGTAGGAATTAGTTCTCTTTGTATGATTTACTTATACCCGATTGAGTATATAGCTACAGGTATATTAGTCTGGATGTAGAGCCAATAGAGGTGGAAATGCTTATTATATGAACTTTTTTTGCATTTTCTGTTTAAACATGATATCCATATTCAGAAACTGTCGGATGCCCGACGGGCATCCTTGAGGAATTTTTTTGGCGGCCATTTTGAATTTTCACACGTTTTATGTATTTTAGCCAGCATATTAGAACAGAAAACTAGCATACACATAAACATATCTTGCTGTTTTTCCTATAATAGAGTTTTAATATGATGTATACCAATATGTTAGGTTCCAGAAATGTTTCTTGACAAAAAAAAATCAAGATGGCCGCCAACCTTACAATGTATGAAATGTCTCATTCTGTGATAATATCAAATTGATATTAGTGTTTCCTACAAAATTATCAATAGATAATACTAAATACATCTGCTTATGATCTCTTTCTCACATATAAAATATCTGAAATGAGTAAAAAGTAACCTACATAATAATTATGATGTTCCACAAGGGTCATTTCTTGGTGCTATATATATCTTGAATTTATGAATTATCTTCTTTTACTAAGATTTCATCAAGGATTTCCCTCAACGGCCCTCAATAAATCCTCATCAGTTTCTTCCAATTCCTGTTCAGTTACTGTCTTTGTATGTTGGTTATTGCATTCATTCCCCTTGCAAACACAGAACAATGTACATGATAAAGATGCCTTGGAGCATTGACATCGCCCAGTTCCACATACATTGCCCTCTGATGCACATGTGAACTTAATGAGCTGGAGAATTCCTTCGGGGGTACAGGGTGTATCCTTGGGCATTGTTGTTTGGACAAGTGAGCCCGTGCTGTTAATTTCCCAACCATAATCTGTTGGAAGGATAAGTGGGGGGTCAGGCATATCAGCATTTTTCCATATAGCTACTTGGAAATGAGCTCGCTTCACATACTGGGAAAATGCTTCTGTTGTTGGTGGGAGGGATTTTAGCTTTGGTGCATTTGTAAGTGAGCCCGTGCTGTTAATTTCCCAACCATAATCTGTTGGAAGGATAAGTGGGGGGTCAGTCATATCAGCATTTTTCCATATAGCTACTTGGAAATGAGCTCGCTTCACATACTGGGAAAATGCTTCTGTTGTTGGTGGGAGGGATTTTAGCTTTGGTGCATTTGTAAGTGAGCCCGTGCTGTTAATTTCCCAACCATAATCTGTTGGAAGGATAAGTGAGGGGTCAGGCATATCAGCATTTTTCCATATAGCTACTTGGAAATGAGCTCGCTTCACATGCTGGGAAAATGCTTCTGTTGTTGGTGGGAGGGATTTTAGCTTTGGTGCATTTGTAATTTTGCAGCATTTTTGCAGCATTTTTCTTTGCTCATACAGCATATCTCACATCAGACATTTTGTCTGTGACTTTAGGTGTAATTCCATAACATCTAGAAACAAATTCTGTTGAAGTTTTCTCAACTTCAGTCATGTCTGCATTGACATCTCCCAAGTTAGCGAGTGAATATCTATTTAACACCTTCACGACTGCAAGATGCAAGATGTCGTATCACTGCCAGAGGGACTATGCGCAGCTAACAAGTTTGGGATTTTTAATTTGTGTTCATTTACGGTTGCATTAATGTTAATGTTTGCCCGGCCAGATGATGTTCCCTCCATCATCACTATTTGATGAAAATGGAGAAATTAATATCACAACTTCAAAATCAACACTGAAACAAAAGTTACAGATTGAGGTGACCTCAATAGGAAACAATTGCAATGTACGTGTCGTTGATGGGTGTGCCATCCTTTGGATCATAACATGGCCGATGGCTGGCAAAATTGAAAACTTCTGTATTGCTTTCACTAAGTACATCCTGAGACTCCTAACCGAATCAGATGTATACCTTATCTTTGACAGATATCAAGACAATAGCATAAAGAACAGCACCAGGTCATCTCGAGCTCAATCAGCCAGTAGAGTGCATAAGTTCAGCTCTGACACACCTCTCCCTGTACAGAATGTTGTTCTGAATGTGACTGAGAACAAGGTCCAGTTGATAAAGTATGTCATCGACCATCTTGCTCAAAAAGCTAGTGAAGGATCATTCTCCAACATCCTTGTTATCACAGGTCCTGATCCAACACCTGTACAAATTCTCAAAGGCAATATTGACCAACGTGATGACTTAAGGACCACTCAAGAAGAAGCAGATGTTGTTATTGTACACCAGGTTCTGCATGCTGCCAGTAAAGGCATACAGAATATCAGTGTACTCAGTGATGATTCTGATGTTTTCCTTCTACTTCTTCATCACTGTCTCAAGCACAAGTTAATGGAAAATAACATCATAATGGAGGGAACATCATCTGGCCGAGCAAACATTAACATTAATGCAACCGTAAATGAAACTAAAACTACCAAACACAAACTAAAAATACCAAACTTGTTAGCTGCGCATGGCCTCTCTGGCAGTGGTACGACATCTTGCATGCATGGAATTGGCAAGCTAACAGTCCTGAAGGTGTTAAATAGATACTCACTCGCTAACTTGGGAGATGTCAATGCAGACATGACTGAAGTTGAGAAAACTTCAACAGAATTTGTTGACCCCCCACTTATCCCTCCAACAGATTATGGTTGGGAAATTAACAGCACGGACTCACTTGTCCCAACAACAATGCCCAAGGACATACCCTGTGCCTCTGAAGGAATTCTCCAGCTCACTAAGTGCACATGTGCATCAGAGGGCAATGTATGTGGAACTGGGCGATGTTCATGCTCCAAGGCATCTTTATCATGTACATTGTTCTGTGTTTCCAAGGGGAATGAATGCAATAACCAACATACAAAGGCAGTAACTGAACAGGAATTGGAAGAAACTGATGAGGATTTATTGAGGAAAATCCTTGATGAAATCTTAGTAAAATAAGATAAATTCATAAATTCAAGATATATATAGCACCAAGATATGACCCTTGTGGAACATCATTATTATTATGTAGGTTACTTTTTACTTATTTCAGATATTTTATATGTGAGAAAGAGATCATAATCAGATGTATTTAGTATTATTTATTGATAATTTTGTAGAAAACACTAATATCAATTTGATATTATCCCAGAATGAGACATTTAATAAATTGTAAGGTTGGCGGCCATCTTGAATTTTTTTTATTTTTGTCAAGAAACATTTCTGGAACCTAACATATTGGTAAACATCAGATTAAAACTCTATTATAGAAAAAACAGCAAGATTTGTTTATGTGTATGCTAGTTTTCTGTTCTAATATGCTGGCTAAAATACATAAAACGTGTGAAAATTCAAAATGGCCGCCAAAAAAATTCCTCAAGGATGCCCGTTGGGCATCCGACAGTTTCTGATTATGGATATCATGTTTAAACAGAAAATGCAAAAAAAGTTCATATAATAAGCATTTCCACCTTCACTTAAAATATGGCACTTCACACCCGGACTATATGGAGGTCGCTGGAGTACATATGTGAGTGGGACAGTATCCCCGGGGTCATAATATAACACGTTCACGTACAAATTGCCTTTTAAACATGCACCTTTCGCCTCGGTCACATTTGATCTACGGCAACCGTACGGCGGCCGTAGCTCCCCAAAAATCAAGAGAAATATGCAGCATAAAATATAGGATTAGCAGCAGTAGTTATATTATTCTTGCGTCCCTTTAACAGGGTGGGGAATAACAAGTGGCTTTAAGTTAAGGAGTCTCAGTAAGATAGTGAACACTTAGTTAACAGAAGATGAAAATTCCCATGCATTCTATAGGTTATTTTATTTCTCTATTTTTCAATTTATAAGATAAATTCACGCAATGTGCGGCTCTGTTTACTGCATTGATCTCATTTCAGTTTCTCTCTGAATTAAACAATATTCTAAACACCTTTTGTTCATTGTCTGGATTCAAATACATTTCTAAAATGTATAATTAATTAATTATGAAGTAGTCCAACCAGTAGACTTACTTTCTCATGTAATATACCAGTATTCTCATTTCTAATTCTTCAGTATGTGTAAATATAATTAGATGTTTCAGAATATTATTTATTTCAGAGAAAACTCAATACTTTTCAGTCATTAATTGAGTCTGTTACAAAATCGTACCAAACTTTCAAAACTCGGTGTCAAATCATTGAAAATTAGGTAAGACTTGAACAAGAGAATCTCAATTTCATTGGTGGAAACCATATGTCTATATGTATTATGCAAAAATTATCCTACTGGATAATGGATGAATACTGCTTTTGATTATGCATTACTTAACATTTAAGTCCACTTGGAGACTCTGACTTATAATTTTTGCATAATACTCGATCACACTTCGGCCGTGTCTTTCTTCCTGGTTACTTTAGCATATTAACCCATTAAATATTAATATTAATGATGTTACATGATGTGGTATACTGATGGTCAAGTCACAGTACACAATGGGTTAATATTTCATTAAATTAAAGCATAATGTTTACCAATTGTGGTATGGCATACTAGAACGTATCTGTAGTCTTGCATTAAGCCTTAGTCTTGCATTACCCCAAATTAAAGATAAGAAAACATTTCATATATGTAGCCAGCCATGAGGCAGGTGAGGCAAGGGGGCATCCGCCTCACCAAAATTTACCTCCTTTAGTCTTTTGCCTCACCTATTTATTATTTGCCTCGCCTATTTTATACCCTGGCTATGGCCTCTCATTCTGCACAAGCTGGAGTAGGAGGGGGGGGGACAAGGCTCAATGCATGACTACCATATCTTAATCTCATGATTCTACACTGACTATTCACAGACAATATTCATATCTTCTCATGTAATATCAAATTGGATAAAGTTGACAGAAAGTTTAAAACATTTTCTCATTGTATAAAGTTCATCTAAAAGTTCAATTATTCCCTAATAACAGTGAATTGCACTATTGTATGTATTGTTTGTATGTAGATTTTAAGTACAATTTTAATCAATTCACATTTTAACAAGGGGTGTTCCAGAAATTCTGATATTTTGTTGCATTGTAAAATATCCCTAGAACACCCCTCGTATGACTGAATCCTGGTAAAATGTAAAATTATATAAAAACACTTATCACTACATGAACATGTATAATATGAGATATCACTATGACAACACAATATCAAGGTTTCACAGCCTTTTTAATTAGGTTCACAGCCTTTGTATTTGAGTAATAATCTTGCATCTATGAGAAATACACACAGTTCTCATGAACTTTGAATCTTCAGTTTGAAATCATAAAATTATCCATCACAATCTGGATCTTTCCATTACGGTGCTTTTCTCACTGAAACACCACGAAGAGATAAACAAAATACTTAATTTGATCGCATCAACTAAAACTATAAGCAATAATGTAAATATATTCAAACACCTGAAGTCTAAAAATAAACAAGTTAAATAAACAAGTTGAATTAGCTAGTGCCCCTTATTATGTGCTGAATGTGTATCAGCCCATGTACAGTGTAAATTCATGAATTAAACTTGTTATTTTCAGACTCCAAACTGGGCCCACTTTATTTCAATAGACAGAAATGGTGATATCTAAATTACTCAAGAATATAACATACTGTAAACATTTCATTTTCATGTTTTTTTCAATTCAGGCGCAAATTGATGAATTTTTGTTGAGTCATATTTCTGAACTACACACACTTAAACATAAAAATGTATACAGTTTGATAATCCTACTGGGCCCAGGGCGCTGAGTACATTTATATATTGATTATATATACCACACCATAATGAAAATAAGTGATTTAATTCCTTAGAGCATCACACACCTTTTAACTTCACACAAATGGTTGAAAACTGGCCAAATGGGCATACTATTGAAACACAACTATTTTCATACACATACACTATCAGGAATGTCCATTTTTTGTAGATCGCTTCCAAAATGTATAAATCCAGTTTTTGTTGTCTACCACAGATTCATAGATAGAAAAATGTCAATAGATGTCGGTAATGTGAAGCCAAAGTGTGTATGTCCCTAAAAACTAAATATAACAGCCATGTGATGAGTCCTCTTCTACTGTTGTTTAATGTAATGTCAGTAGAACATTTCTTCTGTGTTATTCTCTAGGGTCAGACCTGGTTAAGCTTTGGTAATTGATTGGTAGAAATCCACCATGATTTTCCAAGCTGAAGGGGCCATAAAGCCATCTGGAGGGTTGTCACCTGCTCTGGCTAGTGCTCTCATCTTTGTGCCTGGAATACAGAATAAATGTATCATTAGATTTACAAATCGATCAAACAAAGTTTTGTCAAAAATACTACAACTGTAAATTTCCTTTTTTCAGGGCTTCAATCCACCTTGGTACATATCAGCTTGTATTCAAAATACTAATTAGCTAATTAATAATTAGCTATAAAAACAGATATGTTACAGCCCATACCACATGGACCTCCTAGGTGAATGGTATCTAGTGAATCCTTAATGTTGAAAAGTATACCAGTGTATAGAAACATTTACAAAATATACATTAAACCAACATCTGTAGAAGTTTTTAATCATACTGGCTCATTCATTCATCCATCAATTCCATGTTTTAAATCATATCTGTTGACATGGAATTATTGTTAAGTAAAATTTTAAATGTGATGAACTGCTTTGAATTTAAAAAATAAGCAATCAAATCACTATATTGCAACAGTATATAAAAAACAGAAACATATGTATTTGTCCTAACTTTTGTGTATTTCAGATAGTTATGTATAATGTGCAGTAAAGCTGTGGCCTTTTGTAATTTAACGAGTTTCAGCCATGTTAATTTTTCCGAAAATAACATGGCAGAGAAGCATCAAAATATGAGAGGCCACTGATACTGTATGATAGCTAAACTATATAACAAACTAAGATATACAAACGTTAGGACATGTATAAATGTTTCTATTTTTACATGTACTGCTGCAATATGGTCCTTTGATTGCTTATTGTTTAAATTCAAAGTAGTTCCAAACATTTAAAATTTTACTGTAAGTCAGGCCCGTAGCCAGAATTTTTCAAGGGGGGTTCACTTTTCCCAAAAATTCTAGGGGGGTTCACTTTGGCATATTTGGCCAAAAATCACACATAAAAGGGTCAGAATGGTGAAAAACCGCATGATTTTGAAAGAAATTTTGGCCAGGGGGGGTGGGGGGTTCGCCCGAACCCCCCAAACCCCCCCTGGCTACGGGCCTGGTAAGTCCATGCTGTTTGGAAATATTTTGAGTGCATGGCAGCTCTTACCTGATATGAACTGGAAGTCTTCTTTCTTCTCTGGATTGTAGAAGTCCATAGCTTTCTTCTTCAAATTGTATGCTGCTACTCGGAATGGAACTATCTCTAGCTGTGTTAGACCTGGGGCCATTGTGAGTACCTGCAGCAGGAAGAACATGTGTCAAATATCTCAAACTAGGATAAACATGTGCTGAAATTATCTCAACTCAAAAAGAACTTGACATGAGTTGGAAAATAAGATGAATACTGACTGAATGAATTTGACTGATATGAAAATGTGAACATGTAACTGTTTCGTCAAGACTCTATGCCTTTGTATTCTAATATAAGGATAAACCACTATATAAAACCAAAAATTGATATGCAGATAAGCAAAAATCTCTTTTTTAAAAAAGGTAGATAAAAACGAAACATATCCATAGAAAATTTGATGATTTCAAAATGAAACAATATAATGTTCAGAAAAATTTCTTAAATTCTCAATCGGATCAATATTAAACAGAGTGGGTTAAAGGTATCAGCCAATTCAATCCCCAAGAGTTTTGCTTGTGGGCATATAGATGGCGTACCCTGTTAATTTCAGCTTCTATTCGTTGTTGTGTGGCGGGGGTTAGACTGTTATTTTTCTTAAGGCGGCGTAGCTTGTTTATCAGCTAGCAGCAAGAATAAATGCAGATAGATAAAAAAAGATGAAATATCCCACAATTCATAGATGAACCTTTTTCTGTGTAAAGTTGAATTTTGTGAGTTCAACTTTACATGGAAATAGGTTTACCTTTGAATTCTGGGGTATTATCCTCTTCAGTCACATCAATAATTGAAAGTGAAAGATTATAATTTGTTAATTAATTAGTTGTTTTTGTTATGCTAAATGTTGTGTTAATTCTATTGAACTACTTCTGTCACATGATTCATGTGCCACATTGGTAGATTCATGTGTCACATTGATAGATGGATGTCACATTAGTAGATTCATGTGTCAATTAACAAGATTTGTGTGTCATTGGAAGATCTATGTGTCACATTGGTGGATTAATCTTTCCCATTGGAAGATTCTTGTGTCACATTGATAGATTCATGTGTCACATTGGTAGATCAATGTGTCACATTGGTAGATCTATGTGTCACATTGGTAGATCCATGTGTCACATTGGTAGATTCATTTATTAAATTGATAGATTCATGTGTCACTGATAAATTTATGTGCTTTATGGCCAGATTCATATGTCACATTGGTAGATTCAAATTTTACATTTTCTGATCCATGTGTCACATAATCAGATCCATGTGTCAAACTAAGTTTAATGGGTCACATAAAATGAATAGATACTCACCTTTGCACCATGTGTTGGTTCAAATATATCTTTCTTTGTGTCTGGATGTGGCATTCCTGCAGGATCCCTCCCCACAATGTAGAAGTTGGCCCCTGTTGACATTCTGGCTTTGGCGTGCCATTGTACCTAGAAGTCAAGAGCAATTACATTTTATGCCATTTCAAGATAAACAATCCCTGCCCAGAATGTAAAAGTTGACCCCTGTTGACATTCTGGCTTTGGCGTGCCATTGTACCTAGAAGTCAAGAACAATTACATTTTATGCCATTTCAAGACAAACAATCCCTGCCCACAATGTAAAAGTTGTCCCCTGTTGACATTCTGGCTTTGGCGTGCCATTGTACCTAGAAGTCAAGAACAATTACATTTTATGCCATTTCAAGATAAACAATCCCTGCCCACAATGTAAAAGTTGTCCCCTGTTGACATTCTGGCTTTGGCATGCCATTGTACCTACAAGTCAAGAACAATTACATTTTATGCCATTTCAAGATAAACAATCCTTGCCCAGAATGTAAAAGTTGACCCCTGTTGACATTCTGGCTTTGACGTGCCATTGTACCTACAAGTCAAGAACAATTACATTTTATGCCATTTCAAGATAAACAATCCCTCCCCACAATGTAGAAGTTGGCCCCTGTTGACATTCTGGCTTTGGCGTGCCATTGTACCTACAAGTCAAGAACAATTACATTTTATGCCATTTCAAGATAAACAATCCCTGCCCACAATGTAAAAGTTGGCCCCAGTTGATATTCTGGCTTTGATGTGCCATTGTACCTACAAGTCAAGAACAATTACATTCATGCTATTTCTAGATAAACAATCCCTGCCCACAATGTAAAAGTTGGCCCCTGTTGACATTCTGGCTTTGGCGTGCCATTGTACCTAGAAGTCAAGAACAATTACATTTTTAACCCATTTCAAGATAAACAATCCCTACCCACAATGTAAAAGTTTGCCCCTGTTGACATTCTGGCTTTGGCTTGCCATTGTACCTACAAGTCAAGAACAATTACATTTTATGCCATTTCAAGATAAACAATCCCTGCCCAGAATGTAAAAGTTGACCCCTGTTGACATTCTGGCTTTGGCGTGCCATTGTACCTAGAAGTCAAGAACAATTACATTTTATGCCATTTCAAGATAAACAATCCCCACCCACAATGTAAAAGTTGGCCCCTGTTGACATTCTGGCTTTGGCGTGCCATTGTACCTAGAAGTCAAGAACAATTACATTTTATGCCATTTCAAGATAAACAATCCCTGCCCACAATGTAAAAGTTGGCCCCTGTTGACATTCTGGCTTTGATGTGCCATTGTACCTCCAAGTCAAGAACAATCACTGTTTATTTCATTCTAACATATGTAATCATCCATTCTACATACACAATATTACACTCGATGAATGGGACATAAACAATTTATAACTTCAATGTAATAATTTAATGTTGTATAGATATGAAATCAATCAATATTTGATGTTTTTTTTAGCTCAGAATTTTAAATCCATGTACTAGACAAAAGTTTGGAAACATTTAACCAATCAGAGTCAGAGATACGACTGATATGTATGATAATTTAGATTATTACCTCTGTTGGTCCTGCATACATCATGGGTGATGGGAATATAGCCATAACTGTCAGATCTGGATCTAGAACGCCCTCTTTCATGACTGCCAAATGTTGTTCTATACGTACTGGAAGTGGAACGTCGTCTTCTTTTGTCCAACCACCTACATTACACAAACAAATCATAACATTATAAATGCAGATGGGATTTATCATTTTAAAGGTATTACTGTGACACACATTATTCATGCTATCACTGACATAAAAGTCATGGAGATTCACTTATACAGCACAAAATATCCATGGGTATTATTATTAACAAACATCATGATAGAGCATCACTTCTCATTTACTTCTCAGCCATGAGAATCATGTTTTTGGTGAAACAGAAAGATGTGTTGAGAATCAGAATGATTGACACAAGATATTTATGGATATTAAAAACACTTTATTTTCATGGACATTAAAAACACTTTATTTTCATGGACATTAAAAACACTTTATTTTCATGGACATTAAAAACACTTTAGGCATTCACCACATTTTGTGTGGGAATGTAGTCTTACCTTAAAGATTCTGAATCAAAGGGATCAATGTTCTTCTATCAAACAATACAGTGCATCTACAGGGTATCAATAGAGGAGTCTCTTTACAGTATACACTTTTGTTGTATTCTAAAGAGACTTTATGGACACCCTGTATCATCCCCATCAGATAATACTGTTTGACTCACCTAAAGGATGTAATAGTAGAACCGGCCGCTTATATCCTCTCTCCTGTAACTTCCTGCGTGTGTCCTGCATCAGTAGGGCATGGCCATTGTGTACGGGGTTACGGAGTTGGAACGCAAACACTGCATCAGCCTGGCAAAAGACAAAAATTCGCTTTTATTGTCAGGCAAGAATAAAAATCTTGGGTATGTTTTTCAACAAATCAACTGAATTTGTTTGCTCACAGAAAAAAGTTACGAAGTTGGAATGCAAACGATGCATCAGCCTTGCCAAAGACAAATGATAGCTTTTATTGCCAGGCAACAAATCAACTGAATTTGTTTGTTCACAAAAAAAGTTACAGAGTTGGAATGCAAATGATGCATCAGCCTTGCCAAAGACAAATGATAGCTTTTATTGCCAGGCAACAAATCAACTGAATTTGTTTGTTCACAAAAAAAGTTACGAAGTTGGAATGCAAACGATGCATCAGCCTTGCCAAAGAGAAATGATAGCTTTTACAATCATGCATGAATAAAAATTAAATGTTGGGTCATATATTTCTACAGAATGGCCAAAATTTGTTCATGAAATAAATATGATGAGGAATGCAAGACTTGATCTGTGTGGTCATCTTTAATGTCCACATACTGGCCTTTAAACAGTATTATTCACAGGGACTCATACTCACATTGATTTGTCTGAATTTTGCTCTGAGTTCATTTGGTTTAAGTCTGTATTCATCCAGGCCATCTCCCCAGTAAATCCTGTCTATGACTTCAAGGTCACCTCCACATAACCAATCCCCACTTTCATGTATCATCTACAAACAAACACATTTACTAATCAGTCTTATTTGATATTATACAAGCCAGAAAAAAGGCATTCACATGCAAAATATCTGCCATTTGTTACATAGACACCGAATGTCGACCACCAAATCCATTCACCAAATGCCAAATACCATCCACATAAAGTTGGAGACTATAACAATATGTATGTCACCACAAGAGGAGATGACATAAAACCATTAGGATTTGTTCAAGCCTATACCTGAACTGCTTCATGAAAAAGTTCACATTTGATCATACATGTCTCTTTGGAGTATTTTATGTCAAAACACAAGTTTCGGTATTATAATATTCATAAATCCATGTACACATGTTACTAGTTTATACAGTAAAACCTATATAATCATTAAGAAGAACACCTTTGGAAACTCTAACAATGTTCCATTTGGGAGGTGTTCCACAAACAGAGGTGTTCCTCTTTACACTATATATGCTTTTCATATATTTCACATAATCATTATACCTTAACATACGGATGTCCTATGTTGTTCGTACCAAACTGTCTGCTACACCGCTCCTCTTTCCGATGCTCATAGAACTCTGGTGTCCGCAATATCGCAATCCTCTTGCCCTCGTATGACAGAGAGATGGCCGAACATCCATCCAATTTCTCTTTATCCTCCGTGTGAACAGGAAGTACAATTGGAATGGACTGATTAGTAACGCCACCTTTAAATAAAAATATTTCCAATATTTACTTATTGTGTACAGTGTCTTTCTAAAACCAATTAACATACTCTTTAAAACCATTTTATTTTGCCTAGGGTTTTTAGTTGTACACTACTATATCCCCTCGGGTCTACAGATCAACAATTTAATTCATGTAGTTGAATGGAGGTTCTGAGTTATAAAAGTCTCTGGATTTCCCTCTGAAATATGTCTGGACACATTCAAATAAAGTAGAGGTGTCAGGGAGAGAAGTGTCTTTTTTCAATAGATTATAAGATTGAAGATTTACAGGGTGCACATAAAGTCTGTTAACACTTTCATAGACTTCATATTGCAATTATAAAGAGACTTTATGGACACCCTGTAAATATCAATTTAATGTTGCATTTACAATGTGCAGTTTAACAAATGATGCAGTTTCCTATTCTGTTGTTTAGAAAAATGTATGGAATGCACAATTTTATACCCTTTGCATTCGTTTGACTTCACTTCTTAAAAGAGAGCTTCGTCTTAGTTTAACTAGACTCTGCACGCAGGGTAACAATTTTATAAACAACAACTTCTCATTGCGTATATTGTACATATGTCATATTGAGTCTGGCATGAGAAATTTATTACCGTTGATGGGGATGCACAAACAAATAATGTCAATACAACTCAGGAATCTATATTGACTGAACTTTAAGTATGTTCATAATATGATCTTCATTGTCAATAGGATAAATTCATATCAGAATAATTTATTAGAATACAATGTTTGCATTATTAAGAAACATTTTAATTTCCAATTTCTATCAAGGTTTGAGATAGGGGCTTTTCTGATCTAATCACATGGGATAGAATTTCACGAAATACACAAGTAATTTGGGCGGTGATTGCAAAAAATTATGAAAAATATATTTGTGGAGATATCTACTATATATGACACAACTAAATTCATGATTCATAAGTCTAGGATTATTTGAAAATGACCCCCAACAAATTCTTCAGATTCTTCAAAACTGATCTAAAAAAACAAACTTAGTTTAACTCACCATCCAGTAGACATCCAAAGTGTTGACTCTGCAAGAATTCCCTCTCCCTCATGAAGCCAGTGAGGGGGGTAGCCCATCCCTCAGCCAATACTTGCACCCACTGTGTGTCTAACTATAAATACACAATTATATTTAAACTATAAATACAAAATTATATTTAAATTAAGAAATTCTCCATCTAAAATGTCACTCAACTTTTTTGTGATTATGAGTCAAAGAAAGCATTCTTGAGTTTCAAATTGACTTCTGTGGTAACTTGAAACCATCTTCTAATTTATTCCACTTACCTTTTATTGTTTCTCCAAATATATTCTTTGAAAATCGGATTTTAAGGGTGTTAATCAGGGTAATTCTGTGCCATTTTAGTAAAAATTATATCATTTTCATACATATAACACAGTGAAACAAATATTCACATGTAATATATCAATAAAATTGCTCCACTGCTTTCTCAGTTAAAGAAAAAAATATAATAAAATGCAAAGATAATAATGGCCACTATTTTGATAAAAAAATGTGGAGGTAATCATGCAGTTAAAATACAGATCCAGTAGTTTATAAAAAGTGGATTTAACACGTCAGTCCCAACACTCATATTTCCATTATTTTTCTTTTGCATTGATAGTCAAAGATAAACATTAAAGGGGATCAGTTTCAAATGTTCTATTTACTGGTATGTACAAACATAAACTATGCTAGGGGGTGAATGAAATTTCTTGAAAATGGCAGAGGGATGGCATCCTCCAAATGCAGGGTTTAGACATCATCCCCTATGTGTCAAGAAACATTGAACAGAGTCGATGATGTCTGGACCTATGTGAATGGACAGAACTTGCTGATTTATAAACATTATTTAAAATGGTACAGGGATAGTAACTCATCTCTATTCACCATTCACCCCAGGCTTATTACATTCTAGATTATTGGCCCAGAACAATGTAGATTATCGATCACATCTTTCATTCTTTATAGAGAAATATTGACATGATAATTGTAATGTATTTAGCCCTTGGGAAATGTAATAAATACAACCATTGGATCGGGATCATTTTTATCCTTTATAAGCTGATTTGAATTCGTTGCACAAATAGAACAAATTCCTTTGATCAAGACATATGTTTTCTTACACGAAATCAAGTTCTATTGAGACAAATCTTAAGATCAAGTCCAAAAAGGGTACATGATTATTCTTCAAGGTTCATAAAAAAATAAGAAATGGAAAAAATATTTGAATATAAAATCTTGCATCGAGTCTTTTACTCAAAATTATTACCATGGATTCAAGTAAAATTGTAAACAAAAAAAGTTCTCTTTTAGTATTTCCAAAGGGTCAAATAGGGGATTAAGGACTGAAAAACAAGTTCATGTTTAAACATGGAGGAGTATAATGTGGCGGAACAGACGTAATCTTGACATCGTCAATCTCTGATGGTTTCGTGAGAGATAAAATACAAACTCCAGCGGAATCAATAAACAGTCAGCCAATCCAAACATTTTCGGAGTACTTTCAGATTTCTACAAAATTTCCTCTCAAAAAATTGAAAAAGTTACTGAAATTTTTCCAATTCTCAATGCTTATAAACTAATTATGATACATTTAGTTTCAGGTTAAAACTTATTTTCAGTACAATAATTAAATTTCAATGACCTACAATAAAAGCACAAGTAATCGAACGGCTGATCCAATTACGCAGAGATAATGATTTTATAAACTCTGTAATAGAAACTGCACAGTTGAAAAGACACAAATAATCTAAAGTAACTTCAATAATCTGACTTTATTATATCTGAGTAATGAGCTAAGAAGGTTTTCAATTGATCTGAAATGTATGGTACCGTCAGGAAGGAAATTGGCCGCTTCTTGTCATGAAATAACGTGGGAAGCATGGAACTATTTACAGACGACACTGACTTGGGAATATCATTCATCTCCTTCATTTATAGAAGAAAATACCTATTTAGTACATTGATTTATTTTTAACCAGAAAGGATGTCAATTTCTTTTAAAGAATCATACACATAATGTGCATTATTGTATTACAAGATAGATACTTCCATATAAGGAAGTATAACTGATTTATTTTATTGACTTTTGTGATGTCACAGTTGGCACAGACGCATTCCTCATTGACGTAAGCGTCAGTGAGCACATTTTATACAAATATGCTAGGATAATCTATGATGTTAATAAGTATCTCTACATTTGTTCAATCGGTTAGTGTAACAGATGTTGATAAGTTAAAACAATAACCAGTATGTTTGCTCCATAAATTCTATTTGAAGGCTGTACTTATGCAAGAGTTAGGAAAATTAAAATGCAAGGCTGTGACATGTTTCATAGTTGAAAAGGAATAAATGAATCTCTCTCATATTGTTCTTTGTCATTTTATTCAATCTTCAGTGTGATACTTCATGTACAAGACTTAAGCAATATCTCTCTCAAAAATATCACCATAGAGGAGTGTATCCAGGACATAAAATTTAGTGAGGCAACTTTTATTTGGTGAGGCAAATTTGAGGCAAAAGTGAAGGAACACCATCATAAGACTTCATTTTAAAGGTTTAATAGAAAGAATGTCTGAATCATTGTAAAGGTTTAATTGGAAAAAACGTCTAATTATTGTTTTCTGTAAAATGTTGGTGAGGCATTGCCTCAAAAATGCCTCACCTGCCTCATGCCTCACTACAGCCATGCTAAAGAGCATAGATAAGTGAATAGCTTATGAATGGGAGGATTTGGGCAGATATATGCCAATACTATTGAACTGAACCTGGCCTGCCTTTAGTTGAACCCGAATATCATACAATCATATCTCTTTGATCAAATCCTATTGTATGGGTTGATGTGATGGTATTTGAATGACTTTATGATATTAAAAAACGAGCAATTTCAGAAGGAGTGTGTGCTATCGCTAAATCAATTTAAAATCAGATTGTGTCAGTTTACAGACTCATAATTATAGGGTTAATGAGATATCGTCGGATTTTATAAAACATGGGACATGAAATCAATACATAATTACAAAGACAAATGAATGGATGTTATCATCGGACAGTAGTGGGCTCATTTCAAATTAACTCGACCCAATCAATTTCACCATGTATGCGGAGACTTCCTAATTTATGAAATAGCAACACCAAATATGGTATATGCGTCAAATGGGAGTTCCTGGTATACAAGTTGAAAAGAAGATTTAAATGAAGTATACCATTCAAAAGCCCAACTATGGATAGCTAAGAGAGAATCTTACAGATCACAATGGAAGTACAGGGTGTCAAATAAATATGTCCCCCCCCCCTTATTTGACACCCTGTACACGTATACCCTCTTTGATACTTTAATTTTCTTTCTTTAAAAGAGACCTTCACCTACAATTACTTGGTAGTAATTCCAAGGCTCTGGCCCAGAGTAAACAATTTACATGCAGGGTATAACATGAGCTCTGCTTCAATGGACAATGTTCAGTTAATTGCAAAGTGGACAAGCTGATAATTGCAGTATGGAAAGAAAAATAGAATTGACAACTGACCCGAAGTTTACCCTCTGAATTCATTCAACATTGCTTCTTAAAAGAGACCTTCACTCTTTCAGTTTACAATAAATCTCTGAACTCATCAAAACCAGAGTTTGTTGTTAAAATACGGAATTTTCTATATTTGGTAATTTCCTCTAATAAGCATGCATTTAGTATGTGTTCCTCCCAGCTCGCTGATTGGTTGAGAAATGGTCAGAGCGGTAGGTTTGAAATGATTTATGAGGTGTGTCACGGGCACCAATCATAGAGGGGCTAAACTGTAACATAGTCTTTACTAGGTAGAGGCTATTTTATAACTAGACTCTGCACGCAGGGTATATCCATAGTTCAATATTAACTTGAAGATCTGGAATCCTGTTTGCATAGATCCCCTTGTTTACAAAACGATCTGTCAGAAATGTATCCATGATACAATACCAAGAGCAATACAGATAGGCATTCACAAACTGAACAGCTCAATGTATGTTAACTATGGTACATTATTAGGCGTTATTGATTCTTAAGAGATGGATAGGAAGATGTTTTTAAGAGACAAATCATAATCTATACTTTATGTGGTACAGTGTGTCAAACATATTCATGAGATTCTTGGAATGTTATAATCAATTCACTCTACTATATCAAGATAAATATATATGAACGAATCATCATTCATAGGAAACACTTCAATCATTCTTATACTCAGACCATCTTTGCCCTACTAAGAAAGAAGGCTATTGATTTTAAGGCTGTATCACTTTTAATACATTAAAACAGAGTACAGTTATTTTTATTTTCAGTATTCATTTTTTTCTATCATGAACAAATCTTCATATACCTCCAATCTACAGTAAATTCAGGCAATTTTTCAGTGTTAATCCTATATAAAAGAGCAGCTCGTATAGTGCTGACTCTGCATAAATTTCAGTGCTAATTTAGCATTGAATCTCAAAAGAGTAAAAGACAATTAATGAAGACCAATCCTTCAAAAGACAAGTTCATCTGCACATTTTTTATTAAACTTGTTTCACCCGTTATATTATCTTGTACAATGAGGGAGGATATACCACGAATATTAAATATAACGTAGCTAGTGATAAATTTGAAGTAAAATTGATCATTTTGCCATTACTGTATTAAAGTAAACATCTTGAGCATTTGGCTAATTGTATCAACCCACAAGAGATGTGTGGGAACAGATGATTGGAACTTAGGAACTGAACCCCAAATTCATAAGTCCCTGGGGTCTACATTTTGTAATTCATGGGCCTATCAAATTATCAATATTTTATTTCAATGCTTTATTGTACTAAAAATCCCTTTCGGGTGAGTGTACAGCAAATAAACATGATAAAATAAAACTAAAACTATACATACAATTACAATAACATACAATGCAAATTTTACATGGCATATAATGACAATATAATGTGATTGACTGATCATTAGATATATACCAACAACTACTATTAGCCTACACCTAAGTAGAGCAGAAGATCAGCTATTTAATTTCGATATGAATTTTTTATGGTATGTTTTCAGAATGACTGGGGTGATTAATTATGCTTAATCTGGCATCATACGTCGTGATCACGAGTAATATTGGAGTTACATAAAGTACATTCTTGAATGATGCTCGAATACTCTTTATTCATACTCGTCTGACAAGATATTCAATATACGGCATGGGATGAGAGTTAATGGCAATAATTCAAGATTAGAGTTAATAAATCTCTGGTTAAATCTAACCACTTTTATATTAACTGGATACCAAATGAAGATGAAGATGTAAGATCCTTTAATTAAGAACAAATGCAGAGTTTATTGCATTGGACAGTTGTATTACTTAACTTCATGAATGCATATCACCCAGGAGGGAAATCAGATATAAATAAAGTACAACACAAGTCATGCCTATTTCACATAATTTCTCATGAGACAACGAATAAATTCCATGATATTCTGTGTATTTTTTTAAACTAAAGGGAGTCATGTCTGTCTGTTTGATAAGTCGATTCCATGGTGATTCCTCTCGATGATAAATTACAAATCCCAGATGTGACGTAACCAGGATTTATTCTAAGGGGTTAATTGAGTGCAAGGAAGTGCCTTGATGGGAGCAATTTCCTGAAGGCCTGGCATTGAATGAGACAAAACATATCACAAACTAATACCATAATTACAGTGAATATGGGCAGATTTAGTCTAGCTTTAAGCACTTGTAAGCCCATCACTGCACAGCTCCACGCGTGGTGGATGAGATAGGGAGGGAGATGGGGGGGGGGGGGGGGTTCAGAGATTTAAGGCAAGACCTGGGCAAATTTTAGGAATTATGAAACAGAAATTTATACTGGAGTAAAACAATTCCAAAAAACACTATATATACAGCAAGACCTCTGAAGTTATTCAAATACAGTAAAACCTGTAACGATGGAACACCTCTGTAAGTGGAACACTTCTGAGTCCGACCAATGCTCATGTTAGATTAACCTCTTGACTACCTGGAGTGACGAGATTTCTTGTCACCTTAGAAATGATCTTGAAACCCAGAGTGACGAGAAAATCCGTCACAAAATGTTTCACTAAAACTGCTCTTATTTAAACAATTTTCATCCACTTTACACAAAAATTGTTTTAAAATGTGTAGAAATGATCTCTGCCGTCGAATTTTACTAAGTTGAGCATCTGAAGTTGTATAGGTATGTAGTATAATGTCAAAACATGCAAAAAAATCTCTGGTTTCAACCGATTTTAGAGCCTGGGATTCAAGAGGTTAACCTCTATAAGTGGAACACCTCCTGGGTGGAACACCTTTTAAGAGGTACCAAAGGTGTTCCAAATACATAGGTTTTACTGTAACATTATTCACTTGTTCAGATATCATATCATAACTTGATCAAATATCAATATCCACTCATGGATATAAATGATATCTTTTCAAAATCATAGGATATCCTATAAGTATGTTAATCTTCGACAACTATATACATGCATATACAATTTAACACAGTAAATCACTAACATACTTGACATCGTAAACGGACAACATTGCCAACTCCGAAGGTTATAAACTAAAATGTCACATTGAACCTACATATTTTGTTTAACCTTATAACGAGGAACATATTCAGAGTTTCTTTATAACTACAAACTTCTTTAAGGATTAGCTTTATGTTCTACGTTTATTTAGAGTTTTATGACATGCAACACTAGTTTATAGTCGTAGCTTGTAGTATTGACGTGCATATAGTATCATACTATAAGGTGACGATTATCCCCTCAAGTCAAAATGTGCAATAGGTCTATAGATTAATCATTTATGTTCAATTGGACATTTATTGTAATGTACATTGTATTTCAACATGTTTTAACCCTTTTAATGCCCTCAGTGATAAATTATTTACTAAAATGGAGCTAACTTGACAAATTTTGCTTTTGCTCAATTTAAACAAAATGTGTTCTGTTCCGGAATATTATAAATATGAGCATCAAACATTGTATATTAAGATAGTAATATGGGAAAATCAAAAAAAAAGAAAAACGCTCTGGTATTCAAAAGGTTAAGGGCTATGATCTTCAGCACGTAAACATGCGCAATTCACATTTATATATTTCAAAATTGATTTTTTAACAAAACATATTGAAATATTAATTCATAGTTCCAATCCTTGATGATTCATATTCCCATGGTGATTTTTATTAGGGTGAGTATCACAGGATGTCAACTCCCATGATGCTTTTAATGTGCGAAAAACAATAAGTTGACACCTAGGATCTTTCATGTGATATGGTGGCTTTGTAAATTGATTTGCTATTACACCTTTAAATGAAATATATTTGATTCATCTCGATGCTAAACTCAATTTATGAAACTCAGATAGTTCTGCTCAAGAGTAATAAAAATCATATTACCTTAGTGATCTCCAAATTGGGTAGGGACTCTGCTTCTGTCTTTGCTGCCTCTACTCTGCCCTCTGGGACAAACAATTCCTTAACACACTGGGTGGCTGTAATTGGCACAATACCCTAAAGCATAGAGAGTACATTCTCACAATGGTGTGGGTAAGATAAATCAAAGGATTTCTGGTTGGGATGGGTCGGGTTGGGTGGTCTGTGTCAGGCCACTGTGGGCCCCATAGAGCTAATACCTGAAAGCTACGGGACACTCTACCCAAACCGAGTTAATAGTCTTTAGTGCATGGATAGATGATTTGGAACAATTCTATTAAACTTTGAACATGGTAAATTGATATTATATTGAGTATATTGAGAAACAATGAGGGCACCAGGTTTAGCACAAGTATATCAACTTGAGATTAAATCACACTAGACTCTTTAATTGATAATTATCAATTGAAGTTTTGAGATTCTTTTTGGGGTTCTCTCATGTTTAAGTGTTTGGTACTCACCTCCTCTTGGAGCATCTTGACAACCTCCTGAACACACTCATCTATGCTGCTGGCCCCAGCCTTGATGTTCAACTCTGGCTTGGAGGGTGGTTCATAGGGATTGTCAATTCCAGTGAATCCTGCAAGGTAGAACAACATTTTACATGTTGAATTCATATGTAAGAGAAGACAACTAAAATGGGATTATGATACATATTTATTTACAAATAAATCTTTTGTGACCAAATTAGGTCACATTCTGCATCGTGAAAGTTCATGAGCAAAGATTAAGGATTAGTGAATGTTCTTAAATGTTCTTCAATGTTCTTACCTTTGATTTGTCCAGCTCTTGCCTTCTTGTATAGTCCCTTAACATCTCTCTCCTCGCAGACCTCAATGGGGGTGTTTACATAGCACTCAAAGAATGGGAGACCTGTCTCTTCATGGAGTTTACGTGCCAATTCACGATCCTATACAAACACATAATGTTATGTAATATAAATTACAAGTAATTGACATGCAAAATGTCACTACCTGCCATTTGTTACAAATGCCAATATCAATTTGAGAATGCTGGAAACCAACCGCCAAATATCACCCACAAAAAAGTTAAAGACGAGAACAATATATTAACAATGTATGAATAAAGAGATGATCATTACCTTCTCATAAGGAGAGATGAAACTGGTGAGACAGACGATGCCACCATCAGCGAACAACTTGGACACCTCAGCGATACGACGGATGTTCTCTTCCCTGTCTTCCTTAGAGAAGCCGAGGTTCTTGTTGAGTCCAGTACGGATGTTATCCCCATCTAAACTGTAGGTAGGGATACCCTGGGCAACCAAATATTCCTCAAGGGCAAAGGATATGGTTGTCTTGCCAGCGCCAGATAGACCTAGAAATGATTTAAGATTATCAACAGGGGTAAAAGGAAAGTCATGCCCAAATAATTTTGATTTCAATTCAGTAACAGGGGTGAGAGGAAAGTTGTGTCAAAAATATGTTTCTAGTGGTAAATGCTGGCATTATCCCACTCATTTGGTCATAATTTGGATCAATAAGAGATGGTGTCCAATTTTCAACACTTATAACAGATCTGAAGAAAGTTGTAAAAAACAAGGTTAAGTTCACTAAGCCAATAACCTTCCCCTTTCCCTCATCTAACAAAATTTTAAAATTGATTTATCTTTCACTTAAATATTACTCTTCGCTAACAAAACCATAATTTAACCCCCATAAGGAAATTTCTTATTCCACAACTGCTGAGAATTAGACACCATACCCCCCCCATACGGAAATTTCTTATTCTACAACTATTGAGAATTAGACACCATACCCCCCCTCCCGTAAGGAAATTTCTTATTCTACAACTATTGAAAATTAGACACCATACCCCCCCCCCCCCGTACGGAAATTTCTTATTCTACAACTATTGAGAATTAGACACCATACCCCCCCCCCCCCGTAAGGAAATTTCTTATTCCACAACTATTGAGATTTAGACACCATACCCCCCCCCCCCCCGTAAGGAAATTTCTTATTCCACAACTATTGAGAATTAGACACCATACCCCCCCCCTAAGGAAATTTCTTATTCCACAACTATTGAGAATTAGACACCATACCCCCCCTAAGGAAATTTCTTATTCCACAACTATTGAGAATTAGACACCATACCCCCCCCAGTAAGGAAATTTCTTATTCCACAACTATTGAGATTTAGACACCATACCCCCCCCCCCGTAAGGAAATTTCTTATTCCACAACTATTGAGAATTAGACACCATACCCCCCCCCTAAGGAAATTTCTTATTCCACAACTATTGAGAATTAGACACCATACCCCTAAGGAAATTTCTTATTCCACAACTATTGAGAATTAGACACCAACCCTAATTTAAATCTGCAGTCAATGGCCTGGTTATTAAGACCAAACATAGAAATATTTTGGGTGTAATTCTTCTTAAAGTCTGTAATATGGACTAAATCCAGTGAATATGAGGAGTTTTCCCTGGTGATCATTCAGATCACTTCAATGAGAAAAGCCAGGATGAAAGAAGCAATAAAATACTTGTATGGTTGCATATACCAATTATTTTCAATTAAATACATTAGCTCTCAACGGCAATTACCTCTTGTTCCTGTAGAAATAAACCATTACACGCAAACATGTTTTATACTCTTTAATCGAACAATTGATTGTCGGGACTTTAGAAATTGCAATTAAATACTCTCAAATCCAAAATGTTATTTGTTCCTAGATTACTACATTAAGTCTGTATTACCAAGGAAACGTGAAAACAGATTGACATTATATTCATAGCAGAATCAATTCAATGTCTGCATGAACAGCTTTATTTGGTTAAAACTATGATAAAATCATGGAACAAAGACATGCCATTACTGCGCAAAACAATTCATTCCCAAGACAAAAACTTACGATTACAATGTACTAATATCACTACTATTGCTGTGAAAACAAATACCGCCACATCACAATGACGTATTATTTTCAAAGATTTGACCAGCAGCACTAAATCAAACAGATCTGCCGATGAGCCAATCTGTGGGTTTTGTAAGTTGTCTCAATTCCTTATATGGTTTTAAGTCATGTATCGTGAAAGGGTGTCTGAGCACGGAGGCAGCTGGAAGCTTTATTGGAAATGGGTAATTGTCACTTTTAACTAAACGTGGAGTAATTACGACATTTTCAGAATGAAGAATGAATTATTGATGAGCATTTTACTTAACACTTGCTATTAGCTGATTTGTCACTTTACATTCTTTAACATAAGGAAACTGAATTGTACTTAAAAGTATACATTCACTTATCAACAATGGTATCATGTGTAACTAGACAGATGTACATCCTACGCAAGATCAATATAAACTGAAAAATGACATTAAGTACTTTTGTTTGCTGTTAAATAAACAAGAGGATGATTTCATCTCTGTCATGATTTTACTATCATATACTTTAACATGGAAAAAATGCAGGACAAATAATTTTTTTTGATTTTACATCAAATGTGAGAAATGGGCTTTCTTAATACTCCACGGTATATTGCATTTATTTCAAATTCCGTAATAGGAAAATGAAAATTGAAAATTCTTATATACCTCGTAGAACTACATAAAAACTACATGTTAAACTGCAAATTGCAGATTACACTCATATTATATTATGTATCTCATAATCAAAGCTCATTTTTAATTTCAGCAGGTCTAGCCAGTGAAACATCATAACTACACGTATATCAATGTATTTTGAAAGACCTTTGAAACCTAGCATCAATTTGAGCATTTGATCAAGCGTGAAACTTAAATTCCTCATCATTTCATGATTGGCTCTACTTTGTAATTGAATTCTATTCAATCCATCACAATAATATACTATCATTGATTTTGAGGGCTCTTCCGAGCTGAAAACAGAATTCCAAGCCCATAAAATTGTAAAATGAACATGATCATGGATAATGAGAAATTATATCGGAGCAATACGATCTTAGATGAACAGCTCTTAACGTCATTAAACTAACATTTAACTACAATGAAATACGAAGGCAAAGTGGTTAAATGTGGTGTACTTGGTTAGAATACCTCTATTGGACTTAATATGAACATAGAGTAATACATTACATTATACTTCAATCCCTCCAATTGAAAAAAACTAGAAAACTAGAACATTATAGAAAATCAATTTTAACGGCAGAAACACAGGCCACATGAAAACATCTGAGATCACCTGATGTGAATGGCATACATGACAAACATCAGGACACACCTCTCAACATACATGGCAATTGCTTTTAAAATACATGTACTGCTGTGAGGGTTAACAATATAACATGGTAGCAACAATCCTTTATTCAGGATAAAGGTTATAAATGAGCATTGATCTGATTCAAAGGAATTTCAATAAAATTTTTAAATCGCAAGAATAATTTTATATTGCAAGTAGAAGTAGACAAGTATTTCTCTCAGATTTCATAGAAGTAAGATTGGCAGTATCGACAAAATAACAATTACAATGTATTTGAACTGGGGAACAAACTTTTCTGGAAAGAACACATAAACAGGACATTCCATCAGAAATCAAACAATGCACTCCCTGAATTCCAATTGTTTCACATTGGCTAATGTTTCATATTGGCTGTCGTCGAGTCTCGCACAGTATATAAAACTTATTCTTGCATATTACTGAATAAAAATCCAACCCTCTCCAAATCCAAAATATTTCAAATCATTTTTTTACAGGATATAGTGGCTATCACATTCAAGAGGGAGCATTAGGTGCCACATAATGGTAAATATGCGCATCAACCCCCCCAAAAAAAGTGCTAGATACTGGAGAAAAAATCCTAATGGATTCTCTTGTACGAGGGATAAGGGACTGAAAAGTCACTTACTGTTCAAGACAAATTGTACTTACCAGTGAACCATACAGTGCAACCTCTGAAGCCACCACGCTGTCCTAGCACATTCCCTCTCTTGTCTCTTGACACATGCTGCTGTTGGTAGACAACATTAGTTGCTTTTTGGATGCTCTGAAAAATAACGAATAAGAATGTTAAATCAAGGTTAAGTCACAAAATCCAGGGGGGTGGGTGGGTAGGTGTGGATAAGGTAATCAGTGTTATCTTTTAGCATTTTATCAATCAACTTTGTGATCCTTCAAGAAAAGCTGAAAGAGAAACTCTAGCATAAAAATCTATATTAGACTTGTTATAAGACAATTAAATGACAGCATATTTCATGTTACTCATACACCAGTACTACAAATAATATCTTAATATTTCTATACATAAGGGGGTTTCTCCTAAAAAGGGTGAGTATTCATTCCAAAAAATGACCAATGAGATTTACTAAACAACATAACATCACTTATATTTGAAAACAATGTTTTCACTATGTACTGTATTGCACTACATGCATGTACAGTAAAACCTGTAAAGACAAACTTCTTTATGTGGAATGCCTCATAGAATCAAGGGTGTTCCCTTACTACATAGGTTTTACTGTACGTGGACTGTTTTGTGTCTAGAAGCCCTTTTACATGAAGTTTCACTAAAAAAATCCAAACTGATTTTACATTAGAATCAGATACATTGATTCATTGTGAAAGTTTAGACACTGATCATGATGATTTATTTGTAGTTTGGCAACAGCTTTGAAAAACACAATAGATAGCAAATGATACAAAGATACTCATTCATTTTACATGTCAGGAATCGGTAGATTTTTAACATTTGAATCAATGCACATTTGAAGTATTTCACAAATAAGTGCATGCTGTTGAGCAATATAATTTGTGCTATTAAATATAAATTTTTAAAAAATTCTTAACTTTCCTAGAATTCTATACTTTTTAGAATTCAATCTATAATTTTTAAAGATCTAATAGCAAAGGTTTTGCAAAAATAAATCAATGCAGTGTAAAACAAATGTATGTATAATGAAGAAATAAATATTTAATGAAAAAAAAAGATATGTGTTTGTAATATTGGTATTAACTTAAGATTAAAAAGTGTCACTATCTCTTTCATTTTTCAACAAATATAGGCTCACGTGACATATGACGCGGGGCAGTCAATTTTGATCTATCGTAGACCATATCAGTATCAAACTGCCGATATTTCAACCTCGTCTTGCGAGGCCATTTTTATTTGAAACATCTTGAATTTGGTGTCAAAATAAAGCTGGTCACGCCCACTTTCAGAGTTATCAATGAATCATTTACTACGACTACTATATTCATTTAGGAGGCGTGTAAAGTTAACCAATCAGAAAGACAATTGCTCCATATATGACAGTTCATTAACATATTCAGTGTTTACTATTGTTTTTCGCGTCATGACAACACGAGTAGTAACCAATCAAAATGCCGTATTTTATCACGTGAGTTCAGAGTGACATGCACGACATGTAAGTTTAGTCTGAGCTGATCGCGATGTTGAACAATTTCTTCTCGGAATTTGTCCAGAGAAATCAGCGATTCTAAATTAAGGTAGGATCTCCCATTTCTTCCTGTACAAGTTTTAACTTATCTCTATCGAATCCTAAAGTTTTGGATGAAGATATGAAGCATACGTTTAAAAACGAAGCGATTAATTTGACGATCTGATTTTGCAATTTGCAATGGCCAATTTACTGCAAGTCTGCGTGTATTTGACAAGAGATAGCGCCAAGTCTTGTATCCGAATGCTTGTTAAGCCACTCAAAAACAAGATCCATATTTTCTAAATTTGATAACTTTGCAGAGAGCCCGTTTTCATAACCTGTTTTCCGCGTCTAAATTCAAACTGAGTAGGATTATAGGATCGCTGGGATTCTCAGTCAATGGCAACGGGTCTTCATTCCAGAACGCACATTTTTTTAGTTGATTCTCCGTCATAGTACTTGTCTAAAGTCCATATCTGCTCTTTTACTGGCATACTTGGACATATTTCCCCTCCTTAAATTGTCCTCCTTAAATAACACCCTCTCGCCGATTTATATATAGCCATTTCCCAGAACCCGGGAGTCAGAATCGCTGATGTTTGCCATATTGAACATGTTGAAATATGTACTGTAATATCTGTAATACTAGGCATTGCCTGCTACGCGTAAGGGTCACGTGACTAGCGCGATACAGGAAAAATGGGGAATTTCGAAACAACAATTTTTGGGCACTTTTATTGCAAATTTCAGGTATTTATAAGTGTTTGTGGTATAAAATATAATCCACACACATAAATGAACATCCAAACTACATATTTTATTACGTTTTGGAGCATTTTTTGCTTTTAAAATGACATCTTTGAACAACCATTGATGTTTTCAAAGAATTATTCTGGAGTGCACTTAGGACTTAGTGATATTAACATAACCATGGTAGCTATTTAGGATTAAGCAATAGTTTATGATTAAGCAACATAAAAGCAACAGCTGTTGTTTTAACAATAATTATTGATTCTTTGACATTCTAAATTCCAACACAGAAACAAGCTGCAAACGTGGCCACAATCAATCTAATACATATGTCACAAACAAACAATGGTTTTAATGTTAATTATGCATTTTCATTCAAATCTGTAAAGCCAATTGTTGTAAGTGAAAACATATTTTCGTAATGGTACATCATTTACATTTGTATTTAAAAATTAATTAATCTTATCTCGTGGTTGGGATAGGAAGATTTGTCCGCTTTGTGAATCAAGTTATTTTTGTAAAAAATACAATTTTTTAAAGTCAAATCAAAAAAAACCTTGTATACAAGTACAAATCTTCTAATCCCACCACATATGTCTGAACGTTTTGGTTTATTTGTAATCTTTGTGGTTTCTAAGTAAAAATTGTATTATTGAGGCGTATAGCCTTTTTATTTTTTGAGGCCATCGGAAAAATAAGCAGCACTTTAGGCCACCTTAATGCCAATGCAAATAACTTTTTGACCATATCACAGTTTCATAAAAATTTCTTTAGAGTTTCTCACTAATAGGTCCATGGGTGTCTATTTGAATGAGGGTTAAATAAAATTTCCCTCTTTCTAGATGCCCATGGGTGCTTTTAAGTGCTTTATGCAATAATTGCCTAAATATTTTTTCTGTAACAAAATGCACTTAGACAATTGCTCCAGGGATATCTCCTTTTATCCCATACTTGGACGTGTTACAGGTACATAAAGCCGGTTTGTAAAAACTTATATTTGCATCAGCGGGCAGATATAGCTTTACGTCCCGCTCCGAGCAGGCAGATATAGTATATCTGCCCGCTACGTCACAATCGCCGCTCGCATATTTGTTCATAATTTGTAAAGTTCGAGTTATGACTGTAAACAACAATGGAGAAAACACAGACAATTGGGATCTGTTTGATGGTTTAAAAAAGAGAAGGAGCATCCACTTAATCAATCAGAAATTTGAGAAAATAAATGTGGGAATATTTGAGAGAACAGGAAAATCCGCCCACGGCTAAGAAAACAAAACTGGACATGAATATTCTAGAATATTTCCACGATTGAACAATGTTAACCAGATGACCAAGATTGGTATGGGATAAACATATTATCCTATAGTCGGTTCAGGATATTGGGATTATCCCTTGGCCAATATAATATATTTTCCCTCGGGACCTGCGGCCCTCGGGCAAATATATTATATTTGCCTTGGGATAATCCCAATATCCTGAACCTCATATAGGATAATCTCTATTTATTGGCAGAAACCTTAGTGCGAAAAGCATGATAGAATTGGCAGATATAGAAAAGTAGGGCAAACTTGAGATGAATGACCAACTTTATAAATGCTTCAAAAAACTTGATAAAAAACTTAATATGGGGCACAAAGTTGTGTATAAGTCGGATTTCTTGTGTGATAGTGAAGTCATAAGGGGCCAATGTTATGATAATTTTCCCTCTTGATGAATGCCCACCCCCTTGAAAAATCCATATTTCCCCTCTGCATTAAAGGCCATGGGCATTTTTAAGCGCTTTCAAATAAATGCCCATCCAAATTAAATACTCAGCAGGTAAATTATTGAAAAACTCTAGAAATCATAATGAAATTTATAAAGTGCAGACTTAAACATAAGATTTGAATATTATTTACTGTACTTTACTTTAAGTTGGTGCTTTCATGATGTCAAACATAAAATGTACTGAAGTTGACATGTACAATAAGACACTAAATGAACTTGAATATAGGTTAGACTTGTAAGTAAGATGATAAGGCATAAATCTGTTGTTACTGTTTAGACTTATCTGCGTCAATGTAAGCAAACTTAGAACAATTTGAGTCTACTGGGCCAACAATTGCACCAGTTAAGTGCAATGAGTTCACATTTCCATATTTGGGCTGCTTGGTTCAAAATTCCTTAGTCATGGTGTGTTCTAGATTTTCAAGTTTTAAAATTTATATACAGTGAAACCTGTATATAGTGAACACCTATAGATCACCTATGGATCCATAAAAAAGTGTTCACTGTAGGTAGGTGTTCACTACAAGAGGATTTTATAGAGGAGTCAATCTAATATGTGTCCTGAAGTGAGGTTGACTAAACACGGGTGGTCACAGAGAGAGGTGTTCACTAAGATAGGTTTTACTGTATTGCCTTTTCATTTGTTTGTCAACACATTCAAAAATAACATTACATCATGGTCACATTTTCATTTATCATAAATGTCATATTTTAGTGTTGGCTTATCACATGTTGACTGCACATGTACAGTAAAACCTGTCTCATTGAACACCTCTCTCTGGTAAACACCTGTGTCTAGTGAACACCTCTTCTCAGCACATACTCCACTGACTGAAGTATGAAATCCCCTCTGTAGTGAACACCTACCTAAAGAGAACACATTTTTGTGGCTCTATAGGTGTTCACTATATACATGTTTTACTGTACTTTATAAGGACTATACCCCAAGATTAAGATTAACTGCCAAAGGTTAACCAAGCATTATTTCATAAATATCTTGTGTATTATGTCATCTTTACATCATATGGATACTTCATGTCACCATATACCATTAATAAGATTTCCTCAACATCATTCGAGTTGGTTCTGA